CCTCTCCGAGGCCACCGGAAGCTGCAGCCTGTCATGTCAGTCACACTGGGCTTCACAGCAGGAAGGTGGGTGGTTGAGTCCCCCAGTTCTTCCCAGCCTTCCCCACGCCATCCTCAAGGCCTCGTCCTTGCCACTCTCCAGTCTCGGTCCCAAGGCGAAGACTTAGCTCCGTCTTGATCCATCTTGATCGGGTACATTCGCGCCCCTGCTAACTTCTCCCAGGGCTTGGGCTCTGATATTGGAGTTTAATGCCTATTGTTTTGTTTTTGTTTTGGGGGGCCACAACCGATGATGCTCAGGTTCTGCACTCAGGGATCACTCCTGTTGGTGCACCTATGGGGTGCCAGGGACCAAACCTGGGCCAGTCACATGCAAGTCTAGCGCCCTCCCCCACTGTCCTATTGCGGTGGCTGTTGGAGTTTGAGCGATAGCACAGCGGGTAAGGCGTTTGCCTTGCACGTGGCCAACCTGGCCAGCCTGGGTTCGATTCCTCTGCCCCTCTCGGAGAGCCCGGCAAGCTACCAAGAGTATCTCGCCTGCACAGCAAAGCCTGGCAAGCTCCTTGTGACGTATTCAATATGCCAAACACAGTAACAACAACTCTCATCATTTGTGGTGAGACGTTACTGGTGCCCGCTTGAGCAAATAGATGAACAACGGGAGGACAGTGCTACAGTGCTACAGTTGGGGTTTAAATGCTTATTGAAGGGGGGGCTGGAGCAATAGCACAGCGGGGAGGGCGTTTGCCTTGCACGTGGCTGACCCGGGTTCGATTCCCAGCATCCCATATGGTCCCCTGAGCACTGCCAGGGGTAATTCCTGAGCGCAGAGCCAGGAGCAACCCCTGTGCATCGCCGGGTGTGACCCAAAAAGCAAAAACAAAAACAAAACAAATAAATGCTTATTGAAGCAGGGGCTGGAGCAATAGCACAGCAGGTAGAGCATTTGCCTTGCACGCGGCCGACCCGAGTTCGATTCCCAGCATCCCCTATGGTCCCCTGAGCACCACCAGGGGGAATTCCTGAGTGCAGAGCCAGGAGTAACCCCTGTGCATCGCCAGGTGTGACCCGAAAAGCAATAAATAAATAAATAAATAAATAAATGCTTACTGAAGGGCTATTTATCTGGTGGTCAAGATTCAGTTCTGGGGTACGGGCAAGCGAGTCCCTGGAGACATTGCCGTTTATCAGAGGCATTGGACGAGCCCCCCAGGAAACCACAGCCCCCCCTGCTGGAATTGCCTTCAGTGTTGGGGACACATCTGCTTTCATGACTTTCTCCCACGCGGGCGAGGCTCCAGACCTTCTGTTCTTTTGCTTGTTGTGTTTGGGGCTCCTACCCGACTGTGCTCAGGGCTTACTCCTGGCTCTGTGTTCCTGAATCATCCTGGGTCGGGCTCGGAAGACCCTATGTGGTACGAACCAGGCTCTGCAGCCCCTTAATCTGCCCTAGCGCCCCTCCACATTTTTTTGACTTTTTGGGTCACTCCTGTTGATGCTCAGGGGTTACTCCTGGTTCTGCACTCAGAAATTACTCTTAAGTGCTTGGGGGAGCATATGGGATATCGGGAATCGAACCCGTGTCGGCCACGTGCAAGGCTAATGCCCTCTGCTCAATTGCTCCTCTGGCCCCTCCCATACCTTCTTGCAGGCCAGTAACAAAGAGCCCCCAGCAGCGCCCGCCCCCACCCTGCTCGGCCATCTCTGGCTCTTCAGGGAACAGCATCTTGCTTTCCAAGAACCCACAGTGCTCACAGTTGTTTTATTTGGGGGCCACACCCAGCAGTGCTCAGGGGTTCCTCCTGGCTCTGCACTCAGGAAATCACTCCTGGCGATGCTCAAAGGGACCACAGAGGATGTTGGGGACCAAACCTGGGTTGGCCACAGACAAGGTAAACGGCCCAGACCATTGGGCTATTTCTCTGCTCCATCCCCCACAGTGCTCATATTCTTTTTTTTTAAAAATTTTTTTCTTTTTTTTCTTTTTTTATTAGTGATCATATTCTTAAGGAGGGCTCAGCCGCCACCAGGGATCCTAGTCTGGGGTGGGAACTGCAGGGGACCTCACCTGGATCCTCAGGGGCGGTGTGTGTGTGTGTGTGTGTGTGTGTGTGTGTGTGTGTGTGTGTGTGTGTCTGGGGGGGAGAGGGGCGCAGGAGGCAGCTGAAGGGGAGACTGAGCCTGCGGTTTCCTTTTGTTTATTTAAAAGCAAAGAGATGTAAAGCGAGAGCGACCTGGGGTGAACAATTGTCAACGCCAGATGCTGGGTACCGGGGCGGTTGACGGGGGAGATTCTGCATTTCAAAAGCCATCGCGAGCAAGCAGGGCTTGGGGTAGGGGTGGGCGGGGCACAGCCGGCACTACTTTCTGGGAACCCGAACGGAGGACCTGGGCTGGCTGGGCTCTGGGTCCCGCCCCGGTGCCCCGCGGGAGTCCCCTCTTCCTTGGCGTCTCCGTTTCCTGCGGGCCGCAGCGGCGGCGTGGGGAAAGGCTTTGCGGGCCCCGTGCTGAGGTGCAGCTAATTCATTAGCGCAGCCTCTTCGACAAGGCCCGGGCGCCTGCCGTGTCAGTGTGATTCATCAAACACGATTGCCCCGCTGCCAGCCTGCGTGGGCCGGAACGCCAGCACATTTTACCTTTCCCCACTGCGAAGGGCTTGGTGGGAGGCAGAGGTACAGGATCTACCCAGAGCAAGAGAAAAAGACTCCGAGGGGGAAGCGGGCTTGCTCGGGAGGGCGCACCCTGGCCCCCTTGACACCCCTGGGAGGGACGCTCCCCCAGCCTGGCCGCCGGGGTCGCAGGGGGGATGAGGTGGGGGGTTGGGGGTGGGGCCGTGAAGCGTCTCCACTCCACCCCGGCCCAGCCCCTGCCAGCCCGGGAGGGCTGCGTGGAGTTGGAGTACAGCTCAGAGCAGGTGGTGCGGGGGGCCGGGGTGGGGTGGGGTGGGGTGGGGGGGGACTGGGCTTCCTCCTCCACAGCGAATGTTCCCCTGGGGAAACTGCTGGGGTGGGGGTGGGGGGCACGGCAGGAGGGCGGGTTTGCGGGGAGGCTCACCCTGTTCTCCACAGTCCCGCTGACTTTGTGGTCTCAGGACACACCTCTTCCAAGAAGTCCTCCCACGTGAGTGGGAGGGACAAAGTCGGGCTGGATGTGTGTGTGTGTGTGTGTGTGTGTGTGTGTGTGTGTGTGTGTGTGTGTGGTGAGGGCAGAAAGTGACCCTTGCCCGCTACAAGCTCTTTTCCCATAACGCACACACACACAGATATTGCAAAGGACGCCAGGAGTGGGAAAGAAAAAAAAAAACACCTCCGAAGTACACGGAAGCAATTTTGTTTCTCTGAAAAGTAATAACAGGCACAACGGAGCTATCGGTAGAGGTCAGGGCCACGGTGGCCTCCGGGAGCCCGGGATTGGCTGTGGGAGGCGCCCGGGGACTCTTGCCAGCAGAGAAACTCTACGGGGAAGTTTACAGTTGTCAGAACCCATCGGAAGGAGCCTTTGTCGCTGGAGGCAAAGTTTGCCTCCGTGTTCAAAAGCGTTAACAAGGTTAACCTGTGCCAGACCCGGTGGGAAGGAGATCAAGTTATAGGGCTGAGGGGAGGGAGGGGGGCGGAGCGGGGGAGGGTCACAGGGCGCCCAGGTTGAGCTGTCCGTCGTCCTGCCTTTGTGCTGACCTCCCTCCCTGCCGGCAGAGGGGCCAGGGAACCGGCCCTTAGTCCAACCACCGAGACAGGCTGGAGGAGGCGCTTCACCCCACGTGACCTGATATGATGGCTCATCCCTCTGGGGGTCATGCCCCCTCCCTTCCCAATCCCCCGCTTTGGGATTAAGGATGTGTCCCTAGGAGAGTTCCAGGCAGCGCAGGGAAAAAGGTCACGGCCAGAGATTGCGCCCAGGGTCTTTTCTGTGTCCCGGAGTGGAACCGGGCGGGGAGCACTGACTCGAGAGTCAGACCCACCGGTTGCAAATCTCAGCGGCTCCTCAGCGCCGTCGCCCAGCTCAAGGCTGGAGGGGGTGGGGGGGGCTCTGGAGCCGTCCCTAGCTCGTAGGCGCGTGGCAAGGATTCAACGCAATGCTCTTTGCATGGTGCCGGGCACATGGCAATCTAGCAAAGCGAGCGCTTCTGCCAGGAGGGCTCGGAACGGGAAGCGGGGAGGCGGGGGGCCCCCCGGCGAGAGGAAGCGTTCCGGAACCGGTGGGCACCCCGGGGCGCGCAGAGGCGCGCGCGTGTCCTCCTCCCCGGTCCCCCGCAGCCCCGCACGGACTCGGAGCCTCGGCGGAGGGGCTGGGGTGGGGTGGGAGATGGGGCGTGGGGCGCAGGAAGGCGCCGGGCAACGCGGCTGCCGGGGGAGGGGAGAGAGGAGGAGCCCGGCTCCGCGCGAGCCCCGGCGAGGGGCCCGCAAGCAACAGTGCTCCGAGTTCCTCTCCTGAAGGGGCCCCCGGTGCAGGACCGCTGGACGCGAAGGACCGCCAGCGACGGCCGCGCCTCTCCTCCACAGTCTCCGCGTGAGTCCCCGGCCCGGCGCCCGCCAGCCTTCGGCCCCCCGGGTCCCCTCGGGGACCCGCCGGCCCCGAGCGCCCCGGAGCGCAGCCGCAGGAGGGGTGGTCGCGAGCGCCGGCCGGACATCGGGGCCGCGTGGGCCCCGGCGGGCAGCCGACCTCGGGTGCCCCCGGCCGATGCGCGGGCGCGGGGGGCGCGCCGGGGCGCAGGGACCCCGCGAGGGTGGCCCCGCGGCCCCGCCCCGCCCCGCCCTCCCTCCGCCTCATTGGCAGCCGCACGCGCGTCGGGGGTTGCCAGGGCGACGGGTCGCTAAGCGGCGAGTCCGCGCCCGGCGGAGCCAGTCGGCCTCCGGCGGAGGGAGCGGGGGAGGCCGCGGGGCGGGCGGCCGGGCGCGGCGCACCGCGGCGGCGGCGGCGGCGGCGGGCCCCCGAGCGGGCGCCTCCTCCCGGTGCAGCGCGGCCCCCCTCCCGGCGCCGGGACCGGCCGGGGCGGGGGGCCCCGTCGGGGAGCCCCGGGGCCGGCCGGGGCAGGGCGATGCCGGGCGCCGGCGGCCCCGGCCGGGGCCCGTGACCATGGGCATCGCCGAGTCCACGCCGGACGAGCTGCCGTCGGAGGCCGAGGAGCAGCTGCGCAGCGGCGAGCAGCAGCTGGAGCTGAGCGGGCGGCGGCTGCGGCGGCTGCCCGGCGCCGTGTGCGCGCTGAGCCGCCTGCAGAAGCTCTACGTGAGCGGCACGGGGCTGCGCGAGCTGCCGGAGGAGATCGAGGAGCTGCGCGAGCTGCGCATCCTGGCGCTCGACTTCAACAAGCTCGAGCGCCTGCCCGACGGCCTGTGCCGCCTGCCGCGGCTCACGCGCCTCTACCTGGGCGGCAACCGCCTGCTGGCGCTGCCCGCCGACTTCGCGCAGCTGCAGAGCCTGCGCTGCCTCTGGATCGAGGGCAACCTGCTGCGGCGCTTCCCGCGGCCGCTGCTGCGCCTGGTGGCGCTGCAGTCGCTGCAGATGGGCGACAACCGGCTGCGCGCGCTGCCCGCCGAGCTGCCGCGCATGACGGGCCTGCGCGGCCTCTGGCTCTACGGCAACCGCTTCGAGGAGTTCCCGCCCGCGCTGCTGCGCATGGGCCGCCTGCACATCCTCGACCTGGACCGCAACCGCCTGGGCGGCTTCCCCGACCTGCACCCGCTGCGCGCCCTGCGCGTCTTCTCCTACGACCACAACCCCGTCACCGGGCCCCCGCGCGTCGCCGACACCGTCTTCCTCGTGGGCGAGGGCGCCGTCGAGCGCATGGCCGAGCGCGACGAGCCCACGGCGCGCCCGCCGCCCCGCCGCCCGGCCCGGCCCTTCGACGACGACGACGACGAGGACCTGCTCCTGGGCGGCGGCGGCGGCGGCGGTGGCCCCCGGGCCCTGGGGGGCCCCGGTGGAGGTGGCGGCGGCAGCCTGCGCGCCCTGGAAGCCGCCCCGGGACTGGGCACCTGAGCCCCGCGGCGGACGCGCGCTGACTTTGGCTGCTCTTGGGTGGGGGCTCCGGGAAGGTAGCCCGGGAGTGGCGGGGCGCGGGGGGACGGGCTGGGGGACCCCCACGTCCACCGCAGGGCGAACTAGATTGGGGGGCAGCCTGCACGGCACGGAGCCCCCTCCCCACCAGCTCTGCAGAATGTCAGAGTATACCCCAGGGAGTCTGGATGCTCAGGGACCCCCATCGCCGCTCTCCCCCCCCAGTGGGAAACTGGGTCCCCTACGCCTGCCTTGGCTGGTGCAGGCGCCCGCCCCCGGTCTCCCGCGGGGGTGACCCGCGTCCCTCCGTGGGGCGGGGGTGGGGAGCCCGAGGGGTTCTGAGAGGTGGGGCTTGAGAAGGGGTCAAGGGCTGAAGAGGAAGAGCCCGTGGGGGTCTGGGGTCGGGCGGCCCTAACACTGCAGCTGCCCTTGGCCCTCCGGGGCCCTTTGCACATACCTCCCTCCCCAGGTCCCCCCCTAAGATCTGAAGCTGGTGAGGGGTCCCCGATGGCAGAGGGGTCTCTGCCCTGCCGGCTTTTCGCTTCCCTTCTCCCAGCCGGCGCCTGGAGTCTTGCCCGGAGCACTCCCTGCCCACGGCCAGCCTGAGCCTTCCAGCTGTCAAGTTTGAAAAGAAGCCATAGTGCCTCCTGGGTCTTCTGCTCCTGGCTGGGCCTGGCCGTCCCAGCGGCCTCCCACCTCCTGCACTCTCCTTTTCCTTAAATGGGCACCGTCGGGGCGGCTGGCACCGAGAGGCACGCGGTGCCTCCACCACTCCCTTGCCAGGGGCAGCGTCACGGGCCCGAGTGCTGGGGGGCCCCTCCGGCTCTGCAAGTCCCAGGGCCAAAGAGTTCCCGTCTGAGCAATAACCGGAAGAGGGGGTCAGGCCGGGGCCACTCAGGGACACGGCCGGGGGCAGGGGCCCTGCACTGTCGTGTGTTTTCTTTAGGAAGAAGAAAAGCAAAAAAAAAAAAGCAACTCAACTGGCTGTAAACATAAATTATATTTCGTGGAGAAAGAATGTGTTTCCCACATGCCTGTTTATTTATAAGCCCTGGGAGAGCACCCAGGCCCCAGACTTCAAGGTCCTGTAGTCCTGCCCCTCTGCTGCTGGGCGATCTGACATTGGCATAAGCCCCTGCTGGGAGCAAGCACCGCTTGTAGGCTCCAGGCAACCTTCTCCACCATCCCCCATCCCCTCCCGTTTTTTTTTTTTCCTAACATAATCCTCAGGTGTCCTGCCGAGCTGTTCTCGAATCTCCCTCCAGCTGCGCTGACCTTCGCCTCTGCTTCCACGGGGACTAATTCCCACCCCCTCCCCCTGGGAGCACAATTTCCTCCTCGAGCTACCTCCCCGCCCTCTCCTCTCTCCTCCTCCTCCTCCTCCTCCTCCTCCCCCCTCAGAATCCTTATTATTCATTTCGTGGTACTTTCTCCCCTCATGGCTCAGGGGGAAAAAAAAGAAGATTTGAAAAGAAAATTGTCAAACTTGTCGTCTCAAGACACATCTCCCTGGGGAAGATCCTGCTAGGTCTCCGTCACCCTGGCAACAGGACTGATGTCATGCAGGGCCACAAGGTCAGGCCCTGCCCAGCTGGTTCCGCTGCCTGCTGGCCAAGGCCTGGGTTAGGAGGCCAGAGGCTGGGGCTTGGCCTTGAATAGACTGCTTTTAAAAACAAATTGGGGGGAGGGGCACACTCAACAGTGCTCAAGGCTTACTCCTGCCTCTGTGCTCGGGAGTCACTTCCTAATGTGCTTTTTTTTTCCCCTGCCCTGGGGCCACATCTGGTGATGCTCAGGGGTTACTCCTGGCTCTGCACTCAGGAATTACCCCTGGCAGTGCTCGGGGGACCATATGGGATGCCGGGGATCAAACTTGGGTCGGCTGCATACAAGGCAAGCGCCCTATGCACTGTACTATCCATTCAGCCCCAACCCCACCCCAAATAAATTTTTTAAAAATTCAATGGGTGGAGAAGATTAGATTTTGGGCCTTAGGGGGACCCAGAGGGGTCCGGATTGGTTTTAGACTTTGTTCTCAGGCTCCTTCAGGCCCATTATTCCCTGTTGGGTTCTGGAACTGTGGAGGAAGAAATTGAGCTCTCAGAGTTTCCAGAGGGCATAACTCAGAATAGTTCTTTTCCTTTTTTTATTTTTTATTTTGAGGGGGGCACACCTGGCTGTGCTTAAGGTTCACCCTTGGCTATGCACTCAGGAATCACTCCTGGGGAAGCTCATGGAATGATTCACAAATCCAGGGGAACCATAGCACTGTAGCACTGTCCTCCCGTTGTTCATCGATTTTCTTGAGCGGGTACCAGTAACATCTCACAACAAATTGTGAGACTTGTTGTTACTGTTTTTGGCATATCAAATCCGTCACGGGTAGCTTGCCAGGCTTTGCCATGTGCGGGCGAGATACTCTCGGTAGCTTGCCAGGCTCTCCAGGAGGGGTGGAGGAATCGAACCCAAGTCGTCCACGTGCAAGGCAAACGCCCTACCCACTGTGCTATTGCTCCAGACCAGGGGAATTATATGGGGGCATAAAAACCCAGGTCAGTTGCAGGCAGGGCAAGTGCTCTACCCGCCATACTATCTCTCAAGCCCCTGAAATGGTCTTTTATGGGAGGGTGGGTTGAACCCCATGTTCCAGGCTGGTGCTCCCAGCCTAGTGCTCAGGGTCATTCCCAGCGGCTCTTGGGACCATGCGGTGCTGGGGGTGGAATCTGGTGCTCCTTCCTTCAGAGCCCGCAATCAGGTGTCTGTGCCGCTCTCCAGCTCAGCACTCAGCCTGGCTGGGGCCACTGTGTGGGCTGGTCTGGGTTGACAGGAGGCCGGAGGCCGGGCCTCACAGAGACCACAGCGAGTCGCCCACCTGGGTAGGCACCGCGGACTCCAGCTCGCCCCGGCTTCCCTTCCTCTCCCGGCTGTCTGCCTGGTTGGTCCCTGGCGGTGCTGCCCAAGCCGGGGTGATGGGTGCCCCTTGCCTGCCACCCTGAGGCCCTGTCCCGGCTCTGGGGCTCCCTCACTTTCTCCACCCAGGACCCCTGTGGTCCCTCCTGGGAAGTCCTGGCCGGTGCCTGATTGAGAGCACTGTTGAGGGTTCCTGCCTCCATGTGGGTGTGATGGGGCCTATTGCCAGAGAAGGCTGGACAATAGGTGCTCTGGGAGCACTGTAGGTGGAGTCCTGGCCTTCTCCTACCTAACTTCCTGTGTGACCACTCACCTAACTCCCGACCTTTGGAGAGGAGCAGAGAGAAGTGACGGCTTTGGGTTTGGTCTGGTTTGGCGTCACACCTGGTGGTGCTCAGGGGCTACTCCCAGCTCAGTGCTCAGGGAACTGTGAAGAACCCGGATGAAACCCGGGCCTCCTGTGTGCAAGACATGTGCCCTTTGAGTCCTCTTTTGGCCCTGGGGTTGACTTTGAGGAGACACTGGTAACAAGGGCCATGCCTATGGGTCCCACATTGCCCAAAGGGAGTCGTTTGGGGGAAATGGCAAAAATCCCCAAAGAGTCATGTTTGTGTCTGGGGTGCAGGTCAGAGGGTGCAAGGCAGTGGACGGGTCCGTAGGAGGGGCAGTTTGGGTGGGGATTGTGAGAAGGAAGAGCAGGAAGAGCTTGGGGAGGGAAGTGATTCACCTGAAAACAGGTGTGAAGCCTCAGAATCTACCCAGTGCTGCAGGATCGCTACCTTGAGGGGGGGGAGTCCCCCTCTGCTTGGGCTGGCAGATAGTCCAAGGTGTGGAACGTGGGGATGGTAGGGGGGGCTGATGCTCGGGGTTCGGGGGGGCTACTTACCTGACCCTGAGGTGCTCGGGGCACACAGACCAGCAGCCCCGAGCATACACTGCCCTTGGTCCTTTCATGAAGCCACAGCTGGGGGTGGGTTGAGCCCTATCCTCATTTTGTTCCCTCCCCCCCTTCACCCCCTCACTTCTTTTTTTTTATTTTGCTTTTTGGATCACACCCGGTGATGCACAGGGGTTCCTCCTGGCTCTGCACTCAGGAATGACTCCTGGCAGTGCTCGGAGGACCATATGGGATGCTGGGAATCAAACTCGGGTCGGCCGCGTGTAAGGCAAACGCCCTACCCGCTGTGCTATCGCTCCAGCCCCCCCTTCCCACCCCTCCATCTTCTCTTTTGGAGCTTCAGGGCAGCAGCCCAGGCAGGGGGCTAGGGGACGGGGGCGGGCGGGGTGCCCGGGACACCCTCCCTGGCTCTCCTGCCACCCCGTGACCTGGCTCCGCCACCTGTCCCCAAGTTCCCTGAAGACACCTGCAGCTCCGTGTGCGGATGGACGTTTATTAGCACACCCGGGTGTGCCACACAGGACACGTGCTCAGACGAGGCGGGGAGGGGGTGCCCTGCCCGGGGAGGGGCTCACAGGCTAAACGAGACACAGCACAGGACAGACAGACAGAGAAGGGCATCTGCGGGGGTACAGCCGGGTGCGTCGGGGTGCCTTGCGGGGGCGGGGCCCCAGGACAGAAGGCCACGGCAGCCTTCTGGGAAGCCAGGGCAGCTTTTGGGAGACACAGGGTGGCAGAGGGCAGAGGTGCCAGGCGGGGGAGGGGGGGAGGGCTGGGCCCAGCGCTCGGCGGCAGCAGGGACGGCGACGAGGGCAGCAAAGGAGGCAGAAGTCCCACAGGGTGCCCTGAGCCCGGGGTCCCCTCACTCAGCCCGGCACAGCCCTTGGCGTCAGGCGTTGGGCTGTTTCTGGACCCCGTTTCCCAGAGAGAGCCTGAACAGAAGCTTTGGCAAGGTGGGGTTCGGGGGGGCTACTTACCTGACCCTGAGGTGCCCGGGGCACACAGACCAGCGGCCCCGAGCATCACGTTCCCCCGGGACACTAAACTGGGTTGTCAGATGCTATAGGAGCTTGGGGAGGCAGAGGTCTGAGCCCCCCTCTGCCCCCCTGCAGTCTGCAGTGGGGTGGGTGAGGGGCCATGGTGGGGAGGGGACAGTTGGCAATGGGGGTGTGCAAATCCCTTATGTGCCTGTCATAGATGTAGCACCTTCCTTCCGAAGGACCCTGGGCGCACAGGGTCCCGGTGGGGTGGGTTCCCCTGGGTGCGAGGGGCGGGATGGGGAAGGATGGGGACAGTTATTGCTCTGGTGGCCGGAGGACACAGGTGACAGGTCTAAGAAGGAATGGCTTGTCTCGGGGGTGGGGGTCACAGTGGCTTGGAGGAGGGGAGAAGGGTCTCCTCGTTTGAGGGGCTCCCTGCTGGGACAGGTGCCCCCGCCGCCAAGAGTCCAGTTCAAGTCCTGGTTGTTAATTCGGGGAGAGGCTGGAGGTCTTTCCAGCTTTCCTCTCTGGCGTAAGGGAAGGGGGTGGAGAGGCTGGACGGGGGGGGGGGTGGCGGGGGGCCCTGCCTGGGAGAATGATGAGGGACCCTCGGAAGTGAGGCTGGCTGAGCTAGAGGGACCCCCCCCCCCGTCCCCTACACTCCCAGCAAGAACAAGAACCCTTGTTCTGGGTGCGAATGGTGGTTGCATTTAGAGGGGGCCCAGCACCAGCACAGCCAAATCCCTAGAGGACAGACAGCTGGAGGGACCCACCCCAGGCTCCCCGGCCCGGCCCCTCACCCCACTGCCTGGTGGGCGAGGCAGGGCTGGGGCCCACGGAGGAAAGAGCCGAGGCCCTACTTTTTCACGATCCTTTATTAATCAGAACGGGCCTTGCCACAAAAAGCAGGGCCCATCCCCACAAAAATAGGGTTTTGCAGAGAGTTGCTCTTGCTGGCTGAGAGGGTGCGTGTGTTGGAAAGTTGCTATGGTTCGTTTTTTCCCCCTTATTTTCTTCCAGTTTGTATTTTCCCCCTTGTTTCTCTTCACTTTTTTTTTTTTTTTTGGTGATAGTGGGTTTTATTTTTTAGAAAACACTTGCGCTCAAAAGACTCAAACACGGTACAAACAAGTGGCCACCAATCCCCACCCCTGGGGCCTCGGCTGGCTGGAGGGGATCTGGGCACACCCCCAAACCCCTGTTTTTGTTTGTTTGTTTGTTTTTTTGGTGGCTATTTTCCTTGTCCCTTTCCAGGCGACTAATGCCGGTGGGCAGGTTCAGGGGTTCTGGGCAGGTGGAATTTGTACAGCAGTCACGTGTGTTGGGCGGGGTGGTCACAAGATAGGGTACCCGAACAACAGAACTACTAAGTCTAGGGCGCCCACAAAGACGGCAGACAACGCTTATGGGGGGGGACACAGTGGAGAAGAGATAGAAGGGCGCAGGCAGGCCTCGGCTATCTCTGGAGGCGGGGTGGGGGGGCGGCTGGGGCTTGGGAGGGGGGCTTGCTTTCCCTGGCAGACAACGGCAATAATACTTTGCTTGCGGGTAGCACCTCCAGATCCTCTTCCTTCGACCCCCCACATCAGATGACGGCGGCCTTGCAACCTCCCCCATGAGGTAGGTGAAGCATTATTACCATCATTTTACAGATGGGGAAACTGAGGCCCCGGGAGTGTGTGGGTGCTTCGCCCAAGGCCCTGGGCTGGTTGGCTCCGGTGCCCTCCCCCACTCCTCAAGCTCCCCCAATTTTCTCTTCTCCTCGAGCCCTAGACCGCCCCCGCCCCGCCTCTCCCGGACCACTCGCTCCCTCCCAGACCCGCCCGCCCACGCCCTGGGCCCCCACTTGGCCGCCCGCTCCCCAATCCCGGCTGTGCTGAGCCGCAAGTCGCGGGGCGCGCAGGGGACGGGGAGCAGACACGCCCCCGGAGATGCGCTCTGCAAAATGATTGGTTCCAAGCTCCGTGGGCGGGGCCAGGGCGGCTTCTGCCCCGCCCACTCGGTACAAACCGGTTCTGGGCGCGCGCGGGGGGATCTGGAGGGCCCCCACCCCCACCCCCACCCCGGGGCCCCACCTGGACCGGCGGGGGCAGCCAGGCGGATCTGGAGCCGGGAGGGAGGCGCACAGGTCTACACCCGCTCCCGCTGGCGCACGGCCTCCCGAGTCGGGTGCCCCGGCAGAGGGGACCGGCCGGTGGGGGCCGACTCCCACTTAGAGCAAAGCTACACTAGAGAGAAAAATGTGGGTTTACAAGGAATGTGGGTGGCTGTTTGCTTTACACGAGCATTCTTCACTCTAAGGAAATGATTGGCCTATTTGGAATGCAGTTCCTTGGGGGGGAAGGGCGGGGAGAGGAAGGGAGGGTGGGAAGGAGAGAAAGACAGGGAGGGAGACACAGAGAGAGGGAGAGACAGAGAGACAGAGAACGGGAGGGAGGGAGAGAGAAATAGAGAGGGAGAGACAGAGAGAGACAGAGAGAGAATGGGAGGGAGGGAGCAAGATAGAGAGAGGGAAACAGACACAGAGAGAGAATGGGAGGAAGAAGGGGAGAGAGACAGAGGGAGACAGAGATAGAGAGAGACAGAGGGAGACAGAGAGACAGAGGGAGAGACAGAGAGAGACAGGCAGAGAATGGGAGGGAGGGAGAGATTATTTAGCTATTTAAGAAAACTTTGGATTTGGGCCAAAGCGTGCCCCGTCTGCTGCACACGGCAGACGGCTCAAGAAGCCATTTACTTGAATCTAACTAGTCCCCCAGAGCCTCTGCTTTGGCCGAGCTCTGCAAGCGGCGACCCTGCCCACAGTCTGCCCCTTTGGTGGGTGTCAGACCCCCGCACGGGGTCGGGATTGGGGACCCAGGCACCGGGCTCGGAGCCGGCGGCCGTCTGGCGCCACCTGGCGGCAGGTGTGGGGGATGTCAGACCCCGCCCGCAGCCCCCAGCCCCCAGCCGGGGCTGTCACCTGGTCCCCAAGCCAGGGCATGAGCGGCCTTCCAGGGCTCCTCCCGAAAGCCCCGCGCTCTCCCCGGGTTGGGGGGACACACTCCCGCTAGCCTCTGCAGCGGCCAGGGCGGATCCACCCCAACTTCTCTGGCTGGGGCGACCTTGCAACGTTAAAACAACGGAAACGGGGATTTTTTTCTCTGTATGGCAGCGGCCCCGAGGGGGCTGCTGCGAGGCTGCGGGTGGGCGCGGAAGGTGCTAGAAGACCAGAGAAACACGCCGGGGCGTTGACATGGAGGCACGAGGGAGGAGAGGTGGGCGCAGCCCGGGGCCGGGGCAGTGGGAGAGTATTGCCAATGTGGTTGGGGCTTGCGCTTGGGGTGGGCCGAGGGGGGCGGGGGTTTCTGGAGGGGTGGGGAGCAAGTGGGGGCTTGGGACCCCTGAGAAGGAAGGGGGCGGGCGAATCCTGGCGGAACCGTGTTCCAGGGACAAAATCACTGGCCAGGGATGCTGGGGGACGTCAGGGGGCCGGCGCGCGCGCACGCAGAGGGGTGGGTGGGGGGTCGCGGTGTCACCCAGTTCTCAGCCACCCCTGCCCCACGCACCCCGCCCCGTCTCTGGGCACCGACTCCCCAGGCCTGTGGCCCCCCTTTCCTTTCCAGAGACCCCCTAAGGGACAGGAAACAGGTGGTGTCCCCCCCTCCCCCAATACACACGCACAGTGGACAGGACGCGAGGCCCGGAGCGGGCGGGATGCTACAACGTCCCCAGCGGTCAGGGCCCAGCCGGCACCTGAACCTGCCCCCAGATGTGCCCAGGGGGGGCTGGGCCTCTCCTGGCCAGGGCCGGGGCCAAACGCCGGGGGGCGGGGTGGGGGGTCCACCTCTTCTCCCGGGTGCCCCCCTCCCCAGCCTTGGGGGGGGAGCCGCAGCGGAAGGGCTAGGCAGAGTGTGGCCTCTTTCCACTCCAGGCACCGCCTGAAAGAAAACGGGGGGCCGTGCCCCCCTGGCGGGCCTCTGGAGGGAGCGCCCCACCTGGCCGCGAGCATCAGCAAGTCAGGAAGGAAAGGGGCCAAAAGCAGGAGATGGCTCCGCGGGCCCCGCCCCCAGCGCTGGAGCCCTGTGGGGGCGGGGCTGGTGCTTCCTAAAAAGAAAAAAAAACAAAAAAAAACCAAAAAAAAAGAAAAACGGGGTCCAGCAGCTTCCGGGGGCCCCGAGTCAGGGCCCTCCCCTCCCCTACAGCAGGGGGGGCCAGGCCGGGCATTGTGCATCGAGTGGTGATGGGGACCTGGGCCCCGCCGTCCCCGCCCCAGGCCTCCCGCCGCGTCCACTCAGGCCTTCAACTGGTGCCACTGGGCCACGGGCTGCCGGGGGCGCGCGATCATGTCCTTCCAGTGCTTTACCTCCCCGGGCCCACTCTTCCAGGACAGGTAGATCTGGGAAGAGAGCAGAGAGGGCAGGGTGAGCGGCCGAGGCCCCTCTGGCCCCGCCCCTGCCGGAGGGGAGGAGCCTGGGACTGGACAGTCGGGGCTGTCCTGTGCGCCTGGTCCCCCCTGAGTCCTGCTGCTTTGGGAACGTTTCTGCTGGGGGCTGCCCCTCTGAGCTCTGGCCTGCAGGGTCCCTGGCTGCTCTCTCCCTCCTCAGATCTGCTGGGTCTCCCGCCACTTCCCCACGCTTTTGTGCCTTTGGCCTCAGATCCCAACTGATCTCTGAGGCTGGCGTTTTATTCTCCCCAAAAGACGATGGAGGGGCTGGAGCGATAGCACAGCGGGGAGGGCATTTGCCTTGCACGCGGCTAACCCGCGTTCGATCCCCAGCATCCCATTGGGTCCCCCAGAGCACTACCAGGAGTCATTCCTGAGTGCATGAGCCAGGAGGAACCCCTGAGCATCACTGGGTGTGACCCAAAAAGAAAAAAAAAAAGACGATGGAGAGGCCAAGGAGCAAATGGTCCAGAACTTAAAAATGCTGCAGGGACCAGAGTGATAGATAGTACAGCGGGGAGGGCATTTGCCTTGCACGTGGCCGACCTGGGTTGGATCCCCGGCATCCCATATGGTCTCCTGAGCACCGCCAGGAGTGATTCCTGAGTGCAGAGCCAGGAGTAACCCCTGAGCATTGCTGGGTGTGACCCCTCTCCCCCCCCAAAAAAATGTGCTGGGCTGAGTCCTGCTCTGTGACTAGCCGAAACCACTGGACCCCATAGACTCTACCAACCATGGTGAGGACGTGTCCACTGGCGCGTGGGTCTGGCCCAGAGCAGGTCGGACACACCCACACACACCACAGGAGAGCTTAGATGCAGGTTCCCTGATTGGCCCTCTTTCTCATCTCCCTCACACCTTCTCTCCCCCTCTCTCTCCTTCTCTCTTCTTCCCTCTCTCTTCCTCTCTCTCTCTCTGCCCCCCGCCCAGTCAGCAGCTCAGGGTTCACTCCTGGCAGTGCTTGGGGGACCCTATAGGGTGCCGGGGACTGAATCTGGGCCGGCCACGTGCAAAACAAAGCAAGTGCTCTACCCATTGGACCATCTCTCTGGCCCACCTGCATTCTGTCCCAGCATGGCAAGAGCTTAGCTCTGTCACCCCCATTTCAGGAGGAAGCGAGGCTCTGGATGGTTACAACGGACCCTGGCAGGCTCATCCCCCCACCCACGTGCTCAGCCTTGAACTGACATGGTCAGGGGCCGTTTAAGGGAGAAAACTGAGCGGGTTTATGCTGGAGAGCTCGGGGCTGAGCCTGGGGTCTGGGTTGATGCCTGCAGATGAGAGGTCACTTTCTGGGCGGAGAGCACTTTCTGGGCCCACTTTTCCTGGGCCATCCGGCGGCTTGGTGCTGTAGAGATATAACTAGCAGCTCATTCTGCCAATGGAGTGTGGGTACTCAGAGAGGCGAGTGAGCGGCCTGAAGTCACACAGCAAGGAGCGGCCTGAGGTGGAGCCCGAGGTGAGGGGACCCGCAGCTGTGCCCCGCAGACCCCCTAGAACTTGGCCTCGGCCACGCTCCTTCCTAGAAAGGCCTCTCCGGGGGTCTGGCCCAATTCTCTCTCAGCTCCTTTCCTTCTGTGTGTGTGTTGTGGGGTGGGGTTTGGGCCACGCCCCGCGGTGCTCAGGGCTTACTCAGGGCTCCGTGCTCAGCGGTCACTCCTGGGTTTCAGGGAATGGAGCCAGGGGTCAGCTGTGAGCAGGGCCAGCACCTCAGCTCCCATACTGTCCCTGGAGCTGCTGACCGCCTCCTAGCCTTGCCCTTCCCAGGGCCAGTCCTTGCCCACCAGCCCAGGTGGACGAAGACGTTTGTCCAGAAACAGAAGCCCTGCGAGAAGAGGGCTGACCGCTCGCTCTCCTCCGCCCAGCCCTGAGCCCCGTCCCCACGGGACCCCCACTTTCTTTGTCGTTGCACCCCCAGTGTCCCTCCCGATCGAGTGTCGGGTGGACGGGGTCAGACGCCGACCCCCTGCCCGTGTCCCCGCCCCTCCCCCCGCCCGCCTGGCCTCCCCCCTACCTTGCCGATGACGTCGTTGCGACTGAGCTTGTCCTTGTCCATCACGGTGATGACGATGGTCGTCTCCCTCAGCTTCTCCGTGGGGATGTCGAAGGCAAAGGACTCGTTGAAGATGGGGTTCAGGTTCCTCTTCATCGTCACCGTCTTCTTCTTCTCCACCCGCTTGTCTTTGTACATGAGCCACACCTTCACGTAGGGGTCTGGGGGCGCAGGGGGAGGGTGAGATGGGGGTGCAGGGGGGGTCAGACGGGGCATGTCCCTGGCAGAGGTGAAAGCTGGGGCAGGCAGGAGCGGGGTTCGGGCAACCAAAGGGGGAAGACTGGAAGGTTCCTTATCCCCCCAGGGAACCCCCCCTGAGGAGACCTGGACCCCCCCTGAGTGGCAGCAGCAGCGAGAATCCTGCTCCTCACCACAGTGCTCCCCTCTGACCAGCTTCCGGAATAGCCCAAGGGGACCCTTTCCGTTTCCCTTCCTTTGGCCTTCCCGGGGATGAGATCTCCAAGCCTGCTCGGATAGGGGCTGAGCAATCTCCATCCAGATCCTCCATCCTCCAGTAGGCAGGGGTCACACCCACCAACTGACCCCCAGCGCCGTGTAATCCCATCAGTGGCCAAGACCCAGAGACTAGAAGACCCAGCTCCCAGAAGCAACATCTTATTATCTCATTCCTACTTTGGACAAACTGGCAGGCTACCAAATGTCACCTGCCCACACGGCAGAGTCTGGCAAACTCCCCGTGGCGTACCCAATATGCCGAATACCAGTAACAATGAAGGGTCTCATTCTCCTAACTCTGAAAGAGCCTTGAATATGGCACTTTTTAAAAATCTCAGGGCTAGGGCAAAGGAGACGTTACTGGTGCCTGCTCGAGGCAATCGCCGAACAACAGGATGATCCTGATCGTGATTCCTTTGGCCACACCCTGCGGTGCTCAGGGCTCACTCCCTGCGGGCAGAGGGGCCCATACGGGGTGCCGGGATGAAACCTGGGCCAGCCGCGTGCGAGGTCCTCCCACCATTCCCTCCCCAGAGCCCCCAAGGGGGTCCTGACCCCAGCCTGCACCAGGGGGTCCCCCAGGGAGGAGATACTGGGGCCGGTCCTGGGGGCACTGCCACGTGGACGCTGCCTGAGCCCGGAGCCAGCCCGCACCTGAGGTGCCCCCGATGTCCATGGCTTTGAGGTTCCGGGCCTTGATGATGTTGACGATGATGGAGTTGGCAGAGGGGTTGTAGCAGAGGGACAGGAGCAGCTCCCCGCGGCTCCCCTGCAGGGACAGAGCAGGCAGGCATGGGGGGATGGAACGGGGGCTCTGGCCAGCACTGCCCCGCCCCTCCATACAAGGCAAGTGTGCTACCCACTGAACTATCTCTCCGGCCCCCAGTTTTCATCACAGCTCTGCTGAGTGTCGGCACAGAGCCCTTGACCTCACTGCCCCCGTCCAGTCCCCTGTCACTGTGTCTCTACTCTCTGGCATGTCTGTGGATGCCCTGCCCCGCCCCACCCCCCCCGCCAGGTTTCTTTTTTTGGGGGGCCACACTGGGGCTGCTCAGGGCTTATTACTCAAGCTCTGCACCCAGGGATCCCTCCTGGTGGTGGCTCAGGGAACCCTACGGAGATTGAAGCCAGGTCGGTCATGTACAAGGCAAGTGCGCTACCCACTGAACCATCTCTCCGGCCCCCAGTTTTCATCACAGCTCTGCTGAGTGTTGGCAGGGAGCCCTTGACCTCAGTGCCCCATCCAGTCCAGTCCCCTGCCATTGTGTCTCTACTCTCTGGCATGTCTGTGGATGCCCTGGTCCGCCCCACCCCGCCAGGTTTTTTTTTTGGGGGGGGGGGCACACCGGCAGTGCTCAGGGGCTTATTACTCCTGGCTCTGCATCCAGGGTCCCTCCTGGTGGTGGCTCAGGGGACCCTACGGGGATTGAAGCCAGGTCGGCCACATATAAGGCAAGTGTGCTACCCACTGAACTATCTCTCTGGCCCCCAGTTCTCATCACAGCTCTGCTGAGTGTCTGCAGGGAGCCCTGATCTCAGCGTCCCCCTCCCCCCACCCCCGTCCAGACCCCCCCGCCCTCGCCCTGAGCTCCGGATGGGTCCTTACACTCCCATCACTGCATGGCTTCAGATCCTTCCAGAAGGTCTGCATCTGGGTCAGGTCCACCTTGTTGAGGGGGATGGACACCTCCCCAATGGGGTCATTGCGGCTGAAGCGGTCGTAGTCCAGGACCTGGAGGTAGAGGATCCTCTGCACCACCTTCTCGTAGGGGAAGCCTGGAGGGAGAGGAGGGGTGAGCAGGGGGCGCTGAGGGGAGCGCCCACCACAGCGTGGCAGCAGTCCCCCCCACCACTGGGGATCGAACCCGGGTCGACCACGAGCAAAGCAAGGGCCCCAACCACTGAACTACTTTTCTGGCCCCCATTATTTCTTGCACACCCCCGCCCCCACTGCCTTCTGACCACTCCCGTGGGAAGGAAGCTTGGCCCAGACCTCCTGTATCACCCTCGACTCCCCAGGGTGCCGAAGTTGCGTCCATTTTACAGATGGGGAGACAGAGGCTGAGACACAGCAGGACAAGACCCTGCGCTCAGCCACACACCGCCGCTGGCCATGGAGTCCATCTGAGTGGCCACAGCTACAGAAAGGGAATCCGGGAGGCTGAGGCCAGAGGCAGAGGGGAAGGAAGGGACACGGGTCGGGAACCCCAAGGCAGAGGGGAAGGAGGGGACACAGGTGGGGGACCCCGAGGCAGAGAGACAGGAGAGGACACAGGCTGGGGACCCTGGGATGCTGGCCAGTGAACTGGCCCATGTCTCCCTCCTTTCTGACAGACGTCAGTCTGCCCGTCGGCCACCTCCTCTGGGCCCCTGGCCTCCCCCTGGACAGTCCCGAGCGTCCAGCCCCCCGCGTGCGCTCTGTGGTGGCTCATTCCCACAGGGCCACCAGTGACCAGTTAGCCAGAAATCCCATCTCCACTTGTGCCCTTCTCAACGCTTCCGGGCATGCTTGGGATCAAAGCGGCGGACATGGCCTCAGTTTCCCCCTTCTGCTCTCCCTCCCTCTCCAGCCACCGCTCTGGGCGTCCTGAGGGGCCCTGGCCTGGGGACCATGGTCAAGGCTGCTCGTGTCTGCCAGGACGCTGGGCTGCCCCCCCCCCAGCATTCAGCCTTCCTCACTCGCACCCAGCACCCGGCGGAAATGCTGGAGAAACAGAGCTCAACTGAGGTGGCATGGTGGGAGCTGGGGGGGGTGGTGCCCACAGCCAGAACTATTGGACTTGGGAAGGTTCAGCGGGAGGAGCGGGCAACTTGGGGGGGTGTGCGGGAGGGCGGGGTGCAAGCAGGCCTGAGGGTGTTGGCCGGAAGGAGAGGGAGGAGGAGGAGACGATGAAGAAGAACAATTCTGGGGGAGGAGCGATAGCACAGTGGGCAGGGCATTTGCCTTGCACGTGGCCGGCCCAGGTTCGATCCCCAGTTTGAGTGCAGAGCCAGGAGTAACCCCTGTGCATTGCCGGGTGGGATCCAAAAAGCAAAAAAAAAAAAAGGGGGGGTACTGGAGCGATGGCACAGTGGGGAGGGCATTTGCCTTGCACGTGGCTGACCCGAGTTCGATTCCCAGCATCCCATATGGTCCCCCGAGCACCGCCAGGAGTAATTCCTGAGTGCAGAGCCAGGAATAACCCCTGTGCATTGCCGGGTATGACCCAAAAAGCCAAAAAAAAAAAAAACAATTCTGGAAGGTTCTGCCATCTTGAGCCGGAGGCGAATCCAACCTTCCCACAGGCCCTGCCCCGATCTCCTCCAGGGTCTTCCTTGCAGCCCGGGGCTATGGTTTGCTCCCCTCAGTCATTTCCGCCCACCCCCAAGACCTTGCCCAGGTGTGCCCTGGAACTTCTTCAGGGGGTGACAAGTTTTGGCAGCTTTGAGAGGTCCCTGAACTGAGGTCAGTTTTCCCCAACCTCAGTGAACTCCTATGCATCCCTCAGAACCCATCCTGGAGGGCCCTCTTCAGGGAAATGCTCTGCAGCACCACCCGCAGGAGTGGACACCGGGTTCCCTCCTCACGGCCAGGCAGGATGCTGCGTTGGCCTCATCTCGGTGCCCTACATCAGACCAGGGGCTCTGGGCCACTGTGGTACCCAGGCAGTGCCCAGCTCATTGGAAATGCTGGGCAAGTGTTCATGGAAGGAGCCCGTGGGTTCAGGCCCTGCCCAGAGTCTTTGTCCCACCAGCTAGGACACCCCCTGCTCCCCGCAACCCCGAGCTGAGCCTGTTGCTGGATACGCCAACAGTAAACTGGCTCCCACGGACCTGGTGGTGATGACGGTCCGGAAACACACAAGTTCCCCCTCGTTTCCTCTCAACCATCTTTTGAGTGAGGGGGAACGAGGGCCCCTTTCCAGAAGCGATGGGCTTTAATGAGTACTTGGAATGCAGTCCAGAACCTTCCGGAAGGTTCTGGAAGCCAGGGAAATGGGATTTCTTCTCATTGGCTGAAACTGTTCAGGCTTCTTTAAGTGGGTCCAGAAACTCAAGTCCCTGGGGGCGGATTCAATTCCTGATCACACAGACAGACACAGACACACAAACAGACACACACACACAGACACAGAGACACACAGACACACAGACATAGAGACACACTGACATAAACAGACATTCACACAGGCACACACAGACATATATACACACACAGACGCACACAGACACACACAGACATTCACACACACACAGACACAGAGACACCCGGACACACCCAGACATACACACAGACACACACAAACACAGAGAAACACAGGCACACACAGACATACACACAAACACACATACTTACAGACATAGAGACACATAGACACACACAAACAGACATTCACATAGGCACACAGACATACACACTGACACACAGATACAGACATACACAGACATTCACACAGACACACACAGACACAGAGACACAGACACAGACAGACACAGACAGACACAGACATGCACAGACACAGACACACACACAGACACAGACACAGACACAGACACAGACACACACACACACATACACATACCATCCTGATGACCTTGAGTCTTCAGGGGCGAGGGGCTGGTCCGAATGGGAACAGATGGCGTGTACTTAAGAAACCAGCAGAAAGTGTTTTTTCTTGCCTTTTTTTTCCCTTTGTGTGTGTGGGGGGGGGCACACCCGGCGCTGCTCAGGGCTTACTCCTGGCTCTGCGCTCAGGGATCACTCCTGGCAGGGCTCAGGGGACATACCAGGTGCCAGGGATCAAATCCAGGTCAGTTGGTGCACTGCGAATGCCCTACTGCTATACTCCCTCTCCAGCCCCCAGAAAGTTTTTTTTAAATTCATTATTATTTTTTTAAATTTGGTTTTTGGGCCTCTACAGGGCTTTCCCCTGGCTCTGCACTCAGGGATCACTCCTGACAGTGCTCCGGGGACCCTCTGGGATGCTGGAGATGGAATCCAGGTCGGCTGTGTGCAAAGCAAACACCGTCCCTACTGTACTATTGCTCCGGCCCCTGTAAACACTCTTTTATTTATTTTTTGGCTTTTTGGTACATCACACCTAGTGATGCACAGGGATTACTCCTGGCTCTGCACTCAGGAATTACTTCTGGTGGTGCTCAGGGGACCATATGGGGTGCTGGGAATCGAACCCAGGTCAGCCACATGCAAGGCAAACACCCTCCCCGCTGTGCTATCGCTCCAGCCCCTGTAAACGTCTTTTCAATGGACTGATGTGCTTCACCCTCACTGTGGCCGGCTCCAGCCCAAACACCTGGTAACAACCCAGAGAGAGTCAGGGAACCTGCAGCGGGTCACAGAGCCAGGAAGAGGGGCCCTCAGCCAGTCCAGGCTCATGGCTGTGGGGGGGCCCACCTGTGGGTGCCCCTCTCAGAAGGAGGCCGATGTCCCCACGCAGTGGCCCCACCTTCCTCCTGGCTCTGTGGGTCGTGGGGTGCAGGGGGACTGGCAGCCCCCCAACCCCTGTCCGCCTCCCCCCTGCCAAGCACCCGGAAATTGCTGGTTCTTGGGGTGGGGGCTGGGAGGGCAGGGGCCAGGTCACCTCACCTTCAAAGAGGAAGGTCTCGTTCCAGTGGGGGTTCAGGTTCTTCCTCTTCACCTTGGTCTCCAGCTTGTGCTTCTTGTCGGGCAGCAGGTAGATCTTGACGAAGGGGTCGCTGGTGCCGCTGAAGTCCTTGGCCGGCAGCTCTTGGGCCTTCATGATCTTGACGGTGAGCGTGGACTCCTGGAAGTTGTAGCCGACGCTGAACTGGATCCGGCCCAGGTTCTCACGGCTGCAGGCCTCGTGGGCCTCGTCCTCCTCGGAGCCTGGAGAGAGCTGGGCGGGGAGGGGAGAGGTTGGCGGGGCGGGTGGGCACCTTTATTCTGCAGGCAGGGCTGGGGGGCCCTTCCCGCTGCTGCAGTCACCCACCTTCACACCAGGACGCTCAGGCCCAGAGCAGGGAGGAGGGGTCCAGGGGAGGTTCTTCAAGCCCTAAACAGTGCACACCCCATACCCAGCTTCCCAGCCTCTCCCCGCCCTGCAATGTTCCCTGCACCCCCAGATCCCTCCTGCCCCCGTCTCTGCACCCTGCTGGCCCGCTGTGAAATCCACCAGCACAGAAACCAGCCACAAAGGCAAGCGGGGAGCAGTGGGCGCCCCAGGAGAGATCTCCAAGGCGCTTCTCTGGAAGGGGAGCCTCAGGGGGGTGAGGTCTGAGGGGGAGGAGGCGGGGCCGGGATGCAGACTCCCCTGCCCCCCCAACCAACGGAGAGGGGGACTCCCAGCAGGCCCTCCAACCCCCCAAGAAATGCAGGCGGCCCAGGCACGAGGGTCTCTAAAAGGCCCCGGGATGCATGTGGGGGCGAGTGGTAGGGATGAGGCCCCCTCCCCCATGGACCACCTGGGGCTCACACTTGAATGCGGTTTTAATGGAAACAAAGTATAGCGCTGGAAGCAACAGAAGCAGAAGGCTCTGTTCCATCACCCACGGCCCTGCAGGGCCTGCCATGTCCCCCATCCTGCTGTGTCCCCCCTCCTGGTGTGTGCCCACCCCCAAGTCCTGCACCATCGGGCCGCCTGGAGTTTCTGGCCTCCCACAATCTCTGCGGCCCCTTCCCTCCAGCAACCGACCTTTGGGCTGTGCATAGCACGCCTGGCCCACAAAGGCCGCCCACCCCAACCCCTTCCCCCAAACTTGGGGGTGCATCCCCCCCACTGACCAGAGCTCAGGGGCTCTCAGTCCCATTGCAGGGCTTCTTGGACCCTCCTGAACAGGTGGTCTGGGATGGGCGGCCCTCAGCCTCTCCAAACACAGCCCTGGGCTCTAATTATCCAGCCAGGACAGCTGGTGCACCGTTTCCAAGGTAACCAGGGGTGCCCGCCTCCCCCTGGCCCTGGGGAGGTGTGGCCGAGGCCCCAGTAACAGCGCCAGACTGGAGCACCCTAACCAGGGCATGTTGGGTGGAGACACAGAGGGGACACTCCCTGAGGGCCTCTCCGAGTCCACTCCCTCTCACCCCTCCACCCGACCATCTGTGGCTGGCCTGCTTTGGACATTCTGGGGCCTGGCCATCATAGGGCCAGTGGCCAGCGCTGACCTCTGTTGGAGCGTCTTCAGAGGCTGAGCTTGGGAGAGTACGCCGGGTCCGGGACCTGGATCGCCCTGCCCATCCCCAATGGTGGGCGGCCAGCGGCCCCCGTCCAGGGCCAGCAGAGGGCCCGCCCTACTCAGAAGCAGGTCCCAGGAACTGCCCAGTCAAGAGGCTGGGGGCAGGGATGGGCAGGCAGGATGGGCTGTGGCCACATACAAGCTGACCCAAGAGGCTGACCAGGGCCCATCTCCGTGGGAGGGAGGTGGGCTCCGGGGACCGTGTGGATGCCGGGAATCAAACCCAGGTCGCTGTTGGCCTGGCCTGGAATCTGAATTTTAACAAGACCCCCCAGCCTTCGTGAGGGGGTATTAACTCCAGGGGGATGGGCAGGGGCTCAGTGAGGGTCCGCCCGGCCCATGGCCCATGCTCTATGGGGTTGGGGAGAGCAGACAAAAGGGTTCAGGCCGAGGAGGTGATTTGTCGCAGACCGTGTCCACCAGGAATACAGTGGACATTGGCTCGCTGCCCAGTCTCCATCCGATCCAGCCTTTCCAGGGTCTGGGGGAACCTTCCCAGCCAGGCAGAAGGGGCAAATGGCCGTGACTTGCTGCTGCCACCAGGGGGCGCCCCGCCCCGCCCACTCAGCTCCGTTTTGGTGGGAAACGCCCCTGAACCAACACCGGCCAGGGACTGGATAGGGTGCAGTGAGAGGACCCCAAGCCTGCTGTCCCCTCCTAGGGATCAGGCCTGGGGGGCTGTTCCTGCCTCAGAGTCCCGCCCCCCCAGCAGCGGGACTGGGTGGTGGGCGGGGGGGAGACCACTCCAGGTTTGGCCCCAGGCCCTCTGTCCACTGGCCCTGTCTCCTGAGCACCCCAAACTCTCTCCCATAACGGGTGGCCGCTTGCCCAGGAAGGAAATGCTGGAGGGCACGGATCCTGCGTGCCACTCCAAACTGGGAAACTGAGGCATAGGGAGGGCATTTGGGTGAAAGAGCTTGAAAAAAAGGGGCCGGAGCAACAGCAGAGCACACACGAGCCTGGGTTCGGTGCCCAGCACCCCCTAGGGCCTCCCGTCAGGAGTGATCCTGGAGTGCAGAGCCAAGGGTATGACCCGACGGCACCCAAATCCCCCAAACTAATCAGAACAAACCCCGTGGGCGTCCCCCCCACGCTCAGAGCCCGGCCCCCAGCCCCTTACCATGAGCATCTCGCTGGTGAGGGAGTTGACGAGGTCGGAGACGGAGGAGCGAGGCTCGGTCCTGCGGTCGGACTCATCGTGGGGTGTCTGGCCCGGCACGGGGGCCGTGTTCACGGCCTTCCCTCCTGGGGGCAACCTGGGGGCGGAGGGGGGCAGGGGGTGGAGAGTCTCAATGAGTGGGGGGGTGCGGGGGGGCGCCACCCGCCCGGCTGGTGGCAGGACCTTCCCTGAGACCCTGAGTGGCTGTCCCCTCCTGGAGCTCACGGTGTGCTCGTCCACCAGCAGGCCTGGCGCCCCTCTGGTGATGTGCTGCCCCCCCCACATCACGCCCCCACAGCCTGGCAGGGATCAGTTCCAATGCATGTGGGTTCGTCCATGCCACCTCCTGCCCAGAGCACCCCCTCCCTGCGTCCAGCCGCCACTTGCCCGTTCGCCTTGAAGCACGGCCGCCTGCCCCCGGCCCCCTCCATCCCACCTAGCCCCCTGTAGCAGAGCCAAGGAGGCCCCTCCCAGAGGCGCGTCTGGCCACCCCTGGGCGTTCTCAGCCCCTGCAAACTCGGCCGAGGCCCCACCTGTGTGCGCTCAGGTGCCCTCCAGACCCGAGGCTGACCAGGGCGGGAGGTCAGGGCCACGGGTCGCACAGCTGAGCCCAGGGCTTCCTCCACGGATAGGGCATCTGGCCACTGTGGGCAGCGCCGAGCACCAAATCGTTAACGTCCATTGGTGCAAGCAAACCTCTGAGCTCCGGGAAGCATCTGTGCGCTGTTGCTCCTGGACCCCGACCTCTTTCCCACTCACCCAGCCTCGAGGGTGGGGGTGGTGGGTGGGCACCGCCAGGAAGCCCCTTTGCATGCCAGCCCAACCCCACCCACCTCCTGGGAAGCTGCCCTTTCGGGTCCTGCAAGCTGCGGGGGAGGGGATGGCAGGGGAGGGGGGTGAACCCCTGGCTCCATCCAGAGGGGCGCACAAGGAGCCTGCTGGAGGCCAGACTGGAGGAGGAAGAGGCAGGCAGCAGGGGTGAGGGCAGCGGTCAGGGCCAGCGACATCAGGTCAGCTATGACAGGACTAGGACAGAGACACACGGACAGACGGACGGCCACCGGCCACAGCGCTCAGGAATGGACCCGAAAGGGCGCCAGCGCCGAGCTGAGCCCAAGGGGGCACAGACACATGCGCAGGAGGGGTGTCACGGCACGACCGGGCAGGCAGGGTCACGTGCACGCCCTGGGTGGGAGCAGGGGTCCAGCGAGACGCCACGCCGCGCCGCCGTGGACCATGCCCACAGGCCACTGGATCCCGGGACCAGATGCATTCAGGGGGCGGCAGGGGAAACGGACAAAGCGGCCCGAGCACCCCCACCCCAGCACCCGGCCTCGCCCGCAGCACACACACGCGCACATATACATACACACGAACACGCGCACCACACACGGACACGGGCTCACGCAGACAGACAGGCACGGGGAGGAAGAGGAGCGTGAAATAGCTGCAGAGGGAAAATCAGGTTAAAAATAAACCGAGCCGCAGGTGCGAGAGTCGGACCCCCGGGGCCCCGCTGCAGGGCAGCTGGGGGTCAGCTGGTCAGCGGCACTGCAGCCCTCCGAGGTCCCAGGACAGAGAGACCTGGGGCCAGACGGACGGATGGATGGACAGACGGGCGTAGGGGCCGTGCCTGGCCCAGGGCCGGCCCTGTGAGGAGCAGAGGGGAGGAAGGAGGGGAGAGAGGCTTTGGCGTTAGTCGGAGGCGAGTGAAGAAGGCGGCGGAGGGGGACGCAGGCGGCCGAGAGGAGGCGAGGGACACACATGGGACAGAGGAGGCTTCGAGGGGGCTGGGAGGACAATGGGGGTGGCCAGGCCCCTGCCCTGCCCTGCCCCTGCTGGGGGTGGGGGTCAGGCCGCGGTGGAAACCATTTGGATCCCGAGGAGCAATGTGGATGAGCATGAGGTGAGATGGGTGTGTGGCTGCGGGGTGCCAGGCTGGGAGCCCCCTGCCCCCCTCCCCAGGGCCCTGACCCTCGGGAGGTCACTCATGCCAAGCGCCGTGGCATTTGGAGCCTCTCAGGAGTGGTGGTGGTGGGGGCAGTGGCCAGCCCCCACCCCCAAAGTACGGGACTCACAGTGACCGCTTGCCCTTTGGGGAGCTCTGGGGCCCTACAGACCCCACCCTGGGGAAGCTGAATGTCCACTTCAACGCTTGCCCACCGCTGGCCCTACGGCCGTCCGGTCTGGTCAAGCTGGGGTGCAGTGGGGGGCGGAGGGACAGAGGGACAGGCCCTGAGGCCAGAGAAAGGGCACCTGAGCTCAGGCCACTGTGGAGAGGAAGCATCCTAAGAAGCCCAGTGCCCAGGGGTCAGTGTCCATCGGGGCCTAGAGGGTAGAGGGCAGACCTGGGGTCCCACTGAGAAAAGCTCGTGCCCTTTCTGGGCGTGGAAAGAAGAGTCACACACTGGCCACTGGCCCTGTCTCCTGAAGTGGTCAGTCACCCAGGGAACAGCCCAGGGGCCATGGTCGGTGACCCAGGAAACAGCCCAGGGGCTATGGCCGGTCACCCAGAGAATAGCCCAGCAGCCACGGCTGGTCACACAGGGAACAGCCCACACCCAGGGAACAGCCCAGGGGCCATAGCCGGTCACCCAGGGAACAGCCCAGCAGCCATGGCCGGTTACCCAGGAAATAGCCCAGGGGCCATGGCCGGTCACCCAGGGAACAGCCCAGAGGCCATGACCGGTCACCCAGGGAACAGCCCAGCGGCCATGGCCAGTCACCCAGGGAACAGCCCAGCGGCCATGGCCAGTCACCCAGGGAACAGCCCAGCGGCCATGGCCAGTCACCCAGGGAACAGCCCAGCGGCCACGAGCCGTGAGTTTAGCAGGAAGGTAGAAATGGTGGGTGTCCACTCGGAGAGGCCGGCGGGCCGGGGGCCAGGGCCTCCGGCCCGCCTTGTGCCTTTCCCAGGATGGCTGTGGCCAGCTGATGTCATGATCAGGAGGGATGGGCGTGTTAAAATATGGAGCGAGACCTCGGTGGCAAGGAGTTAAAAATAGGTGAGAGGGTGAGATGGAGCCGGCTAATTAACACATGGGTGATGGGAAATCTCGTTTCAGCCTGCGTCTGCTCCTTCACGCTGCACACCTGCCCTCCCGCGAGTTGCTGCAGGCTCCCGGCCCGGCCTGCCCGCTGCCCGCTGCCCGCTGCCTGCTCGCCCGCCCGCCCGCCCGGCAGGCCCGGGGATCAGGGCGTTGGAGGGAGCAGCTTCTGAGGCTCCGGGGTCACAGGGCAGGTGCTCAGGGGGTCACACACCCTCTGTGGTCCCTGGGGAGAAACTGGTCACTCTCTCCCCTCCCAGCTCTGCCCCGCCAGGCACAGGTGGGCAGGGAACAGAGCCGGTTTCCAGAAGACCCCCCCACCACGACAAACCCACTGCCCACCATCTCAGCCTGGCCCTTTCTATCCTGCACCCCCGGGACAGTCGACCCCTGCCTGACCCTCACTCAGCCTCCGGGGGTCTAGCAGCGCCCACAGGGCCGTTCCCCGCCAGGGAATACGTGGGAGCTGGAAGGGCCACTGGCAGATGCGGCCAGCAGTCCCTGCGTGCTGAGCGTCCTGGCTTCAGAGACCCCTGGAGTCTGCTCCCCCTGTCCCACGACCCCCACCCTGTTACGTGCCACCCCAGGCCAGCGAGAGGAGGCACCAGACCAAAGCCCACAGACCCCGTCTCAGGCCCTGGCACCCTTCCAGCCGGGTGCCGCACCCACTCTCAGGGAGACGGCTAAGACTGTGGGCGTCTAATGACCGTTCTCTGCAGGGTAGTGCTGGCCTTGCATGTGTGAGGCCTTGGGTTCTGTGGGCATCACGGAACAGTGCTTATATATATATATTTTTTTTTCTTTTGGGATCACACCCAGCAATGCACAGGGGTTACTCCTGGCTCTGCGCTCAGGAATTACTCCTGGTGGTGCTCAGGGGACCATATGGGATGCTGAGATCTGAACCCGGGTCGGCCGTGTGCAAGGCAAACGCCCTACCCGCTGTACTATTGCTCCAGCCCCCAGGAACAGTGCTCTTATTAAACAGCAATCCCCCCCTGAGAGGCTGGACGGCGGGAAGGCGCCCACCCAGCACCCAAACAACTCGGGTTCAGGCCCCATCACTGCATGTGGTCACCAGGGGTCACTCCTGGGCGCCCAGCTCCAAATGCCTGGCCTGGACACAACCCCACGCCCTGACTCCTGACCGGTCCCCTCCTCCTGGGAGCCTCTCGGGGGTCTTCCCCATCACCAGCCCCTGCCCTCCCCCTGCCCACCAGGCCCAGCTGTGTCTCCCCAAACCCCCTCCCACCACCACCTCACCCTGGGACCTCCAGGCGGGCGGGAGGTTGCGGTGGCAGGGATGAGGGAGAACGGGCTGACGCCCCTTCCCTGACATCCCCCCGCCCACCAACCCCCCAGAGAAACGGGGATTTCGGGGGGGGACCGAGATGGAAGATGAGGGCAGCGGGGAGCCAAGCGGGGAGATGGGGGAGAGGCGGGCTTGCTCCGGTGGGGAGCAGGCGTGATCCACAATGGTCCCGGGGGCACCACCCGCGGGCCGGCGAGGACGCTGCGTCCAGCCCCTCCAGCCGCCTGGTCCAGCAGCCGGGCGGGCGGGCGTGTGGGGCCCACGGCCGGCCGCCTTCTCCTCCTGCTCCCGTTCCTGATCCTGCGCTCGCCTCCTGATCCGCTCGCCGGTACTCGTACCTCTTGTCCCCCTGGGCCGGGTTCTGCTGGGTTCCTGGGTTTTGTAGGTCAGGGATATTGGCAAAATCATCCTGCTCCGAAAGCCCTAAGACCAAGGATAGCACCACCATCCGGCCTTCCCTGCCCGCAGCGGGCCGCCCACCAGCCGGGGGGCGGGAGGGGAAGGAAGGAGGGAGAGACAGAGAGACAGAGACAAAGAGAGAGAAGAAAACAGCGTAAGAATCGGGGGACCTGCAGGAGAGAAACCAAACCTCGGCACAGCCAACAGGTGGTGAGCAGAGGGAGAGGAGCAGGGGAGTGGGTGGGAAGGTGGATGGGGCAGTGAGGGCCACCCCCGGGGGCAGGGGGCACAGGGGTGGGGCACGGGAGCGGGGGAGGGGCACATGCCCCCCCACACACACCGTCCGGGGACCTGGCCTGTCCCCAGAGCTGACACCTTCTGTTTGCCTGGGAAAGAGCTGGGGCTGTGCTTTGGCCGACACTCGGCTCTGGGCCTGTGTGGGCACGTCTAGGGCCCTGCAGGAGGCCCCCCGAGGGCCAAGAGGTGCCGCTTCCTGTGCTCAAGCTCGGGCCTGCGTGGTGCCTGTGATCTCTGGGTCTTGGTCAGCCGCAAGTCCTCGAAGCCTGAGGCTCCCCTGGGGATGTGGGGTGCTCCCAAGGAGGCAGGAGGTGCTCTTCCAGCCAGAATGTGCGCCTTGCTGGAGGCCAGAGGATAAGGCCCATGGAGGCACATTTCCTTGGAGGAGGCAACGCAGGGGCGAGTGGGAGAGAGACAATGCAGGAAGGTGCCGAGGTGCTGGGCGCTGAGCGGGCAGCTGGGGTCTCCGGAATATTCCAGGACAGATGGGAGGAGATGGGGACTCTGGGAAGGAGCTGATGAGTGATGCCGTGTGGACCCCCGCACGCAGCCACCATGGCCCTGCCGTCCCCGCAAGGGCAGGGGCCTGGTGCTCTGCAAATCCACGGGTCTCTTCGGGGGTCACCCCGGAGCTCGTCCGGTGCTGGGTTGCCTCTTCCAGCCACGAAGTGAAAAACGATACTTGCTGGGTCGGGCAGCAGAGCGGGCCTGAGAGGGACAGGAGGAACGAGGATGCCCAGGAGGGAATGTTCCAGAAGCGAGGGATACAGGAGACCAGGGTTCCGGTGCAGGAAGATGCGGCTGAGGGGGGCTGTGGGTTTCCATCTAGCTGGTGCCCCCCAGGCAGGCAATGTCTCTGCCCAGGGCTGCCCTGGTGCAGGCACTGATCCCTGGGGGTCCTGAGGCCCCCCCTGCCCTCAGGGTCTGTCCTCTGCTGTGTTCGGCACTGTTTTGGAGTTGGTAAAATTCCATTTGGCTGGTTGCTGGTGGCACCAGGGGAAAGCAAACCCAAGGAAAACAACACGTTTTGTCCCCGGCTCATGCATTTTTTTCCCAGATACTCTTTTTTTTTTTTTTTTTTTCTCTTTGCTCTTAAGACACACACAAAAGCCAGGGCCCGGGAGTCCTCAGCCGGGGCGCTGGAGGCCTGTTGTCATTCTCTTCAGCTCTCAGGCTGCGATGGGGTGAGGCTGGGCAGTCAGGGGCAGCGAGTTGGGGTGGGGGGCAGAGCTGGTAGCACTGGGGAACCGGAGCCACAAGGCCGAAGTCACACGGTGCTCCCTGCGCTGTGCTCCCCGCGAGGGGGCAGATGGGGCACGGAGAGCCGGGCCAGGCCTCCTGACATCCTACCTGTGTGTCAGCCTCTGGGATAAGTCACAGACCTCATGCTATGGGGGCCTGGAAGGGGGCAGCCCACCAGCCTCGGTACGTTTCAGATGGGACTAGGACCACGTGGGTTCTGCCAGGCCGACAGATGAGACTGAGGTCACACAGACAGTGCTCGGGGCACACTCCTGTCTCTGCACTCAGGAATCATCACTCCTGCAGTGCTCAGGGAACCCTATGGGGTGCCAGGGATAGAACCAGGGTCAACCATGTGCACGGCAAATGCCCTTCCGGTTGTGCTATCACTCTGGCCCTGGGGGAGGCCTATGAGATTGTTTTGGCCATTGGCAAAAAAAAAAAAGCTGGTCTGACCACCCAAATGGAGGGGTCAGGGGTTCTGGGGAGCTCTGGAGGCGGCCGGCTGGGCACCCCAGGGGCACCGAGGCATCCGTGGGCAGAAGCAGCATGGATGGACGGGGAGGGGCATGGGTATCGCGCGTCCACTCCCAGCGAGCTTTCGAAGGTCCAGAGGGAATCACGGGGGTCTCGCCCACGAGGGCCCCCGCAGACAGCTTGTCTTCCCAGGTCAGCTGCAGGCCCCGTGCAGGGCGGTGGGAGGCTGGTGAGCTGGGGCCCCTTCTGCAGGGCTGTTCTCCCAGGATGGTGCTCCCTCGTCCCCGGGGAACCCGGCCTGGGTCTTTTCGGGGGGAGGAACTCGCTTGCCTGCAGCCCCTCATCTTGCTAACGGCCTCGGGCCTGGGCCGTCTCCTTCCTCTCCCAGACTCAGGCTGCTTGATCCTGGAAGGAAGGTGGCGTTAGGCCACAGGAGGTGGTGCTGGTGGGTGGCCGCCCGGGGCTGGATGCCCAGAAAGCCTGAGGTCAGGGTCAGCAATGGTGGTGGCAGCTCCTTCACTGTCGGCGCCGCGGAGGTCTGGCTGAGGGGGGCCCTGCTGAAACCCTGGGAGCCAGTCTGGGGGGGGGCTTCAGGAGATGGATCACTTTGGAGCTGGAGGATCAGCGGCTGGAGAAGGTTCCCAGGACAGGAGACAGGGAAGGAGGGAGGAAGCATAGGAGGGGACAGGAAGCAGAGCTGGAGCACAGGTGGCCTCGGGAGACAGCTGGGGGTCCTTTGGTGCAGACTCTCTGTGCCACTGACTTCTGGGGGGGGGGCTCCCGAGCCCAAAGGTATCAAGACAGGGGGCCTAGCATCCTCCAAAGGGGGCCGGGATTCGAATCCTTCCTTCCATGGGGTGGGGGCGCCTCCGGCCCCAGCACCCACCCCTCCCCAGACAGGGGAGGGAGGTCACCAGGCTGCCCTGCCCGGGAGATGAGGGGTGGGGAGAGGCTGGGGTGGGTGGGGGAGGCGGTGAGGGGGGAGGGGCCGGCTCAAGGGGGGGACTTACAGGAAGGATTTCATGTCCAAGCCTCGGTTTCGAATCTGCCCCACCATGTGGTCCCAGCTGCCCGGATTGGAGCGGCTGTGGCCGCCGGCCGGCCGGTACTTGGAACCAGCCGAAGCGCCCTGGCGGGCCTGGCCGCGGCCGGCGGAGGCGGCCCGGGGGTTGGGGCCGGGCGCCGCGGCCGCGTGGGCCTGCAGCTGGCCCAGGCTCTGGCTGGTGGTGGGCTGGCTGGGGGGCCGCGCCCGCGGCTGCTGGCTCAGCGGCTGCTGCAGGCTCTGTTGCCGCATCAGGGTGTGGGGTCGCTGGCATCGCGGCTCTCCCGTGGAGCTGGGGATAGACTCAAGGGTAGTGGCCGTGGACAGGGTGGAGTCCTCGAAACTTGGGGGGCGGGTGGAGGAGAGGAGAGAAAGGAGAAGCTGGTGAAGAGCCCGTGGCGTTGCGGGGAGGCCCCAGGGCGGGGCGCACGCTGACCTCGGCCCTCGTGGGGGGTGGGGGGCAGGGGGCCTCGTTGGAGCCAGCGCCGAAGGTCACCGCCACCACCACCACCACCACCACCGCACCCGGCTGGCCACCCGGACACCCCCACCCCACCCCCACCCGGCGGGCCCTGGCTCAGTGGTGCTGGTGGCTGAGGCTGAGTGGGGGGGGGGGGCGGGGGGTGGTAAAGGCACAGGCCTGTGGGGACGGCAGGGACAGCACCTGCCTTCGAAGTGTCACTGGCCTTCGGGGACACGAGAAAATCCAGGCCAGGGCCGAGCCGGCCAAGAAATGGGGGGGTGTGCTGCCTCACTGGGGACGCTCAGGCTTTGGGGAGGGGGGTCCCCAGCTCTCAAAACCTCCAGCCCAGGCCAGACCGTCACTTTCCCTCTGGGGTCCCCTGTCCCCCTGCTCTGTTGTCCAGCCCTAGTCACGCAGGGGGGCGACGCCCCGGGCTGAGGGAGGGAGCAGAGGGGCAGGGGCCCCAGCGCCCACTTGGCTGGTCACTTTGCCAGGGTCCTGCTGAGAACAGGCAGGCTGGCCACCGGGTCCTCTGGACACTGGCAAGGGACGTGTGGCTGGCGGGTGGCCAGTGGTCACGGACAGCGGCGGTGGGGCCAGGGCGGTCGGAAAGAGGCAGGGTGGGGTGAGAGACGAGGCGGGGAACACGGGGTGCAGACCCGTCTCTGCTGCGTCCCAACTGTGGGGAGATCCCCCCCAAATTCCTTCCTCTGCAAAGGGGAGTGAGAGTGTCCCCAGCCTGTCCTGAGGGCCCAGTGAGGCCGCACTCAGGGCCGTGCAGAGTGGGCCAGAGTCCCCAGGGCTCAGGGGAGGGAAGCAGAAGGTGGTACCTCCCCCTTGTCCTGACACCCACCCCATGCCCCACCCCCAGCAGGGGCAAGACCCGGGGGGTTTCCGACCCCTCTGTCCCAGCTCCCTTCCCTGTGTTGCTCCAGTCCACAGTCTGGGACCAGGCAGGGAACAGCAGAGAGTGGGGAGGGGGGACAGTGCCTAAGGCGTCCCCAGTGGGCACCCCCTCCCGTCCCCCCACCGGGGCCATAGGGCCACTGCTGATACCACCGCAGCCAGACCCCTGAGCCTACCTGGGACCAAAGGACAACAGTTAGACTGCCCCTGTGGGCAGAGAGAGAGAAAGGAGAGAGAGAGAGAGAGAGAGAGAGAGAGAGAGAGAGAGAGAGAGAGAGAGAGAAAGAGAGAGAGAGAGAGGATAGAGAAAGAATGAGAGAAAAAAGCAAAACATGGGTATGGAGGGGAGCAGCCCTGCCTGGCTCAGGCCTGCAGTGGGGGCTGCCAGCTGGCCAGGTGGGCCCACAGGTCCCTGGGGGCAGCCGGGGGTGGGACAGGAGGGACAGCACTGGACGGCCGCCTCCTCCTCACTGACCTCGTTCCGGTTTCCTGTCACATCCAAAATTAGTCCAATTTACCTCTCAGTCACAGGGAACTAAAATTGGTTCCTCTGGCCCCAGAGCTGGCGGAGGGTGTGGAGGCCTCGGCCGGCCCAGGGTGGGTGGCAGGGGCAGCTGTGGGGGGGGGGGGGAGCTGGCGGGGGCATGGGGCTTCCCGAGGGGACCCTCTTGCGAGCCCCTGTTGGGAGCAATGGGCCTGTCATCTCCTCGGGTTCACACCTCACGTGGCCGTCAGGGCCGAGCAGCTCTGCTGGCAGAAACGAGGCAGCTCTAGGGGCCAATGAGGGACCCAGTGTCCCTGGGGGTGGCGACGGTCAGTGTTCAGAGCACTCACAGTCCTCAAGGAGCTCAATTGTGGGGAAACGGAAAGTTCTAGAAGCCAAGGAGGGCGTCAGGCTGCCCTGGGTGGGGGTGGGTGGGGGTGAGTATTGAGGGACCAGGGGCCAGCTCTAGGGCCATCTCCGGGTAGAAGTGGCCCTTGGCAGGCTGGTCAGTTCTTCAGGGGAACAGGGCCAAGAAGTGTCTGGTCAGAACGGAGAGGGGAGCTGCTTGCCAATGGCTCGAACCCCAAGATCATCATGCTCAAACCCACAGCTGGATGGGGGGTAGGGGGGTGTCAGGGCAGGGGAGGGCTCGCCGACCAGGCCTGGTGCAGCCTGTGGGGATGGCTGAGGTGAGGGGTGGACCTGCAGGGCCAGCCGGCCACTCATGATGGGGGCACGGCACAAACCGCCAGGGTTGCCCGATGGCCAACAAATGAAGGGCCGACTCTGGTCTAGCGCCCCTGCTGGTGGGAAGAGGGAAGGCAGGCAGCAGCCTAAGGCAGGGTCCAGGGGCTGCGTCCCCCACACCCCCCTGCTGCCATGGACGGCTGAGATGGGGCGGCCAACCAGACAGGATGGGATGAGCCCGCTCGGCAGTGGAGCTGCCCGGCGGGCAGGCAATGGAATGACCCGGTTCGCTGGCAGAGAGAGAGAAAGAGAGGCGCTGGAGACTGGCTGTGCCCGGCGGAGGGCTGGGGCGGTGGCGTGGGATGCCCAGGGGCCGAGGACGGCTCCGCTGGAGGGGCAGCAGCGGGCATGCCAGGGGTCCCGCTGGGCGCCCCGGCGGGGGCAGGCCTGAGCTCGCCGCCCCGGTGGCCGTGGGGCCATCACTCACTTGGACAGGTTGAGCTTCCCCGCGGCCAGGTGGCTCTGTACCGTCCGCCAGCGGCCTCTCCCGGCCTTGCCGCCGCTGCCCGGCTCGCTGGGCGCGTCCTCTCCGCGTGGCGGCGCTGGCACCGGCTTCTCCCCCAGCCGGCCTTCCCGCCCCACCGCCAGCCCCGCGGCCGCGGCCACCTTGGCGCTCGACAGGAGCGAGCCACTGGACGGGCGCAGCCGCGGGGGGCAGCCCGGTGGGGGGAGAGAGGGCAGGCCACACGTGGGGGTGGGGGTGGGGGGAGAGGAAGGAGGGGAAAACGACAGATAAAAGGAAGAAAGAGACAGCGAGAGGAGGAGAGACAGACAGACAGACAGACAGAGAGAGAGAGAGACACATCAGCACTGCAAATGGCTTTCAAAAAAAGACCAGCGGGCGCCTGCAGAGAGGAGAGAGGGGGCGCGGGGAGGGGCTGGGGAGGGGGGCTGGAGAACAACGCACCACGACAACGGAGGGGGGCCCCTCCCCACCGCCTGGGGCAGGGGCGGCGGGGTGGGGGGAGGGCAGCCGCCTCCAACTCTATCCCACAGGACAACGAAGGGTTAACGACGGAGGAAGAGCGGGCTGTCCAGGCCAGGAGGCCCCCAGGCAGGGAGAGAGAGAAAGCCGAGTTAGTCAGAGTCCATTCACCACCGCCGCCACGCCACGCCACGACCACCGACCACCGACCACCACCACCAGCAGCAGACAGCGCGCGGCAGCGCAGCAGACAGCCGGGAGGAAAGAGCGAGCCACGCCGGAGAGGGAGGGACCAAAACGGGCAACCCCGTCCTGACTGCACAGCGCGGGCCGGGGGCTGGAGGGGGCAGGGGGCGGGGACCAGCGGTGGGTCCCCCCGCCGTGGCTGTGGGGGGGCCGGGGAGTGGTGTTCCTACGGGGGCTGGTCCTGGGGGGGCGGGGGGCGGGGATGGGCGTGGAGGGGGGCAGGAGGGGTTGCTCGTCTCCATGGTCAGCCTGCCCATGGGGGTGCATGGATGGGGCAAGTGGGGGGCAGAGGAGCAGGAGGAGGAGGAGGAGGAAGAGGAGGAGGAGGAGCTGGGGGAGAAGGAGGGGCGGACGCGGGTACTCGGAGGAACAGAGGAGCAAACCAGGTAAAGTCACTCACTTGAGGGACAGTCGTGGGTCGCCATAAGGGGCGTAGGGTGAAATGTTTAGAATAAACTCCTTGGGAGGGTAGGAGCTCCATTTCTGCTGCACTGTGCTCTCATTGTTATTCCAAAAGTCTCTGTCTAGATCGCTGGAGGGGCAGAGAGAGAGGGGAGAAAAACAGGGAGATACAGGAAGAAACCAGAGCTGCAAGTCCTGGGGGGCGCGCGGGAAAGGGGGCGCGGGTGGGGGCGGGGCGGGCCGGGGTCTGCACCTGCGGGAGGAAGAGGCCGGCCGCGCCGGGCACACGCGCGCGCACACGCACACACGGGCACACGCACACTCGCGGGCGGGGTGGAGGCAGTAGCCGGCGGGCCCGGGGCCTCGCACCTGGGCAGCTGGTGGGAGAGAGAAACACTGTGAGAGGAGGGGGTGCGGGTGCTGGCTGTCAAGGGCTGAGAGGGGGGCCCGCCCCAGCTCCCCGGTGACCCCTGGGCCATGAGCTCCCTGAGGTGGCGGCGAGTCGACAGCCCACTTCTGATCGTCCCGTCCACCTCCACTGGGCTGCTCCTGGGACAGGCCCAGCTGTCCACCTCTCTTTCCTCCGCCTCCGGTCCCCCCAAGTCCTGTCTCTCTGTTCTCTGCTCCCCTCGGGGAAGCGGGAGCTGCACACTCAGCAGGGGGTGGGGTGGGGTGAGGGGGAGCCCAGCAGGAGGTGAGCTGGGCGGAAGCACTTCTGTTCCCCGCAAAGGGTCACCAGCAGAAAGGGATGCGTCTTCAGCTCTTGCTCTTGGTACCTTTCAGGGGCCTGCGTGGCAGGAGCTGACCTTCTGTGGGTGGAGCCTACACTATGGGTGGGGCCTACCTTCTGTGGGCGGGGTCAACCCAGCATGTGGGCGTGGTCTACGACCTGTGGGCGGGGCCTATGCTGGGTGTGGGCAGGGCCTCCTGGGGGCAGAGCCTACCATCTGGGTGGAGCCTACCCTTTGTGGGCGGAGTCATTTTAGGTGGGCGGAGCCTACGCTGGGTGTGGGCAGGGCTTCTCTCTGGAGGTGGAGACTATACTCTGGGGGCGGAGCCTACCATCTGGGTGGAATCTACTGTGGGTGGGGCCGACTTTCTGGGGTGGAGCCTAGCTTCCTTGGGGGCGGAGCCTAATCCTGTGGGGATGAAACCCACCTTCAAGGGGATGGAGTTTATCTTCTTTGGGGGAGGGAGGGCCGTAGGGAGAGCAGACCCCCCAGTCTGGTCCTTGACACCCGTGGCGTGACTTGTGCCTGGGCCCTTCTAAAGTGGAGCTGCTGGGCCTGGAGGGCCCCGTGGACGTTGAGTCCCCACCTCCTGCTCTGCTCCGGAAAAGCAGAATTGCCAGAAGCCCAGAGAATGTGGGGGCAGGATAAGGGCTTCCTGTCATTTATTTATTTATTTATTTATTGCTTTTTGGGTCTGATTCAGCGATGCTCAGGGAATATTCCTGGCTCTGTACTCAGGAATCACTCCTGGCAGTGCTCAGAGGACCATATGGGATGCCGGGAATTGAACCCGGGTCTGCTGTGTGCAAGGCAAACGCCCTACCCGCTGTGCTATGGCTCCAGTAGGGCTTCCTGTCTTAGCAAAGCTGGGAATCTAAGGAGGAGAGAGGCAGCTCATAGGTCCCTGGAGCATTCGGAAGGGGGCCAGCCTGTGCCATGCGTCCCAGGGGAGGGGCCCAGGAGAGTGTTTGGGCCAGCCGCAGGTGCCAAGGTGCTGGAGGAGGGCACCCCAGGGAGAGCGGAGCCGAGCGAAGGAGTAGGCGGACTTGCTGGGCTCCACCTTGAGGCTGGCGGCATGGCCTCAATTCTATCCTCAGACTTGGGGCTGAAGGATAGGAAGGTAGAGAAGCTGGGATCCTCCAAGGGCTCAAGGTGTGGCCCCCCCCAGCCATCCCCCCCACCCCAGGTGGAGGGTCCCTGTGCAGAGTCCACCCCACACCTTAGCCACAGACACCGGGCATTGTGATCAGTGCCAGCCCTGAGCCAGCGCATGGTGGGCAGGAGGTGGAGGTGGGGGGTCAGGGGGACCCTCTGTTGGGGCAGCACTGTGGGTGGGTCTCCCGCTGGGTTCCAGGGTACCCGTTAATTGGGCTGGGAAACCATGCTGGCCCCGCTTTGCTGTTGGACCTGCCAGGATCTTTCCTAGGCCAGGAAATCCCAAGAGACAGAGGTCTGGCACTTCTCAATCTCAATGCTCAGAGAACTCTCAATTTCCAGAACAACTAGTAATGACTGTGGGGGTGGGTGGGGGAGTCAGGGAGAAATGGGGGCATGTGCCCAGAGGCACCCAGTTTAGCACTGCTGAGTTGGGGCCTCGGCAGGCTGACCCTTCGGAGGAGCCCTCTGCCCTCCATGGGTGGAGTGCACAGGGGTGGGCCCTGATCCTGCCAGCCGCAGCCTCTGGGTAAGGGTCTTGCCCTGAGCGGTATGGTGGCTGGGAGGTGGACAGGGGTCTCCGTCCCCCTCACTTTGTCCTGAGTGCCCCTACGAGTGCTGTGTGAGTCTGCAGAGCCCTCAGCCACCCCCTCCCTAGTTGGGGATCCCATCTCCTCTTGTGGGCCCTTGCCAGGATTCCGGACTCCGCACCCCCATCCTGGTGCTCACGGCTGAGGTCCCCCATGTGGTCACTCCGCCCACCTTCAGACGGCTGGGCTCTGCCCACTGGGCCACCTGGCCGCCAAACTGGTTCCCAGGCTCCCCAGGATGGATGGCTCCTCCCTCCCAGCCCCCTCACCACCCCGCCCCCCTAGCCTGTTTCCCTCCCCGTCCCCCCATACCGGCAGCTTCCATGCAGGCCCCAAATGGTCAGAGCAGATGTGTGGGGAGAAGAGGGAGGCAGAGGAGATGGGGGGATGGAGGGCCGGGAGGAAGGGAAGAGAGAAAGGGAGCAGAGATGATCCAGGGGCGAGTGTGGGTGGGAGGAGGGGTGGGAGGAGATGTGGGAGGCACAGGAGAGTCAGGGATGAGAGGCGTGAGCCCCAGCTGACAGGTGGGTCCCTGGAGGGTCACACAGCGGGGTCCTCCCTACCCCAGCCTGACCACTGCCAGAGAGTGCCTGGCCAGAGGCACAGGGTCTGGGCGCCCCAAGTCAAGCAGGGGGGCCTCTCCTATAATCCCAGAGATGATCGCCAGACGGTCCTTGGGGTATATGAATGTAGGGGTGTGTGTGTGGTGCATGTGAGTGAATGTGTGAATGAGGCTGTGCATGTGTGTGTCAGTGAGGGTGTGAGTGTGTGTATGTGAATGTATCTGAGTGAGAGTGTGTGGGGTGTGTGAGTGCATGCGAGTGGGGGTGTGAGGAGTGTCTGCATGTGCGTGAGTGTGTGTGTGGTGTGTGAGTACGTGTGAGTGACAGTGTGAGTAGTATGTGTGAGTGCATGTGAGGATGTGTGTATGTGTGTTTGTGTGTGTGCATGAGGGTGTGTGTGTATGTGCGTGCATGAGGGTGTGTGCGAGTGTGTGGTGTATGAGTGAATGTGTGTTTGAGTAAATGTGTGTGAGAGTGTGCATATGTGTGTGTGGTGTGTGTGAGTGTGTTTGTGTGTGTGCATGAGGGTGTGTGTGAATACATGTGTACAGAGGGTGTGTGAGTGTGTGAATGAATGTGTGTGCTTGAATGAATGTGTGTAAGGGTATGCATGTGAGTGTGTGTGTTGTGTGTATCTGTGAGTATGTGTGTGTATGTGTGTGTGTGTGTGTGTGTGTGTGCATGTATAGGAGATGAAGGTGGAACTTTCAGCTCCAAAACGGGGTCAGAGGCAGCAGGAGAGGAACATGCGGACATATACTGCTCATGGGGGCAGGGGTGTGGTGTGGAGATTGGTAGAGATTTGGGTACTCTCAGGAACATGTGATACAATTTGGGGGCTGGGCAGGGACATGTGATGGAACTGGGGGTCTGGGGAGGAGGCTGGAGGCTGTGTATATGATATGAATTGGGGGGCTGGCAGGCTATGTGGGGTAGAGGCTGGACAGAGACATGTGATGGGTCTGGGGGTGGCAGAAAGGAGCTCTCTCTTCACAGACCAGAACATCGGAGGTGAGGGGTCTGGGGGGAAAGACCCCCGGGAGCCCTGGGGGAGGGGTCCCAGTTCGAGGAATGGTGGGGGGGCACAGAGAGAGGAGCTGGGGACAGTGCGTGTGACTTGAGCCAGCAACCGGTGTGACTGGAAGCAGAAGGCTCTGCGGGTGGCAGCAGCCCGAGTGGACGGGTGAGGGGCCCTGGTGGAGTCAGGGGCCACCCGAGGGGAAGCAGGGCAGCAACTGTGGGGGCGGGAGGGTCGCCCCCACACGGGCTGCCTGCAGACCCGCCCCCTGCTCGCAGCCAGAAACCTACTTGATGGCCTTCTTCTCGCTGCGCCCACGGCCCGAGTCTGGCGTGCTCACGGTCTCCAGAGAGTTCTTGTAGCGTTTGCCCTGTGGGGACAGCATGGGGTCAGCCCGGCCCTTCCCCACCTCGGTCACCCTCGGGGAGAGCTCCCCAGTCCTGCCCCCCTTGACCTGCTCTTCCTCCCCGACCCCCAGGAACCAGCCCCGCCTGTCCGCCTGTCTCCCGGGGTTCTGGCCCGACTCCCGGAAACACAGATCCTTTCTCTTTCCCCGGACACACGGCTCGCAGGCACCCGGCCACGTCACGCGGTCCACGTCACCACCCCCAGATGGTGGGGGTGGCATCCTGCAGGGCAAGGTTGGCAGCGGCCAGTGACGTGAGCTGCGTGGGCGGAGAGAGGGCCCGGAGCCCAGCACTGTGGGGACTGGGTCAGTGGCTGTCTGGGGGTTCCCACAGGCCCTCATGTCCAGCCCCCCACCCCCCAGCACTCTGCCCATCACAGCTGCTTTAAAGTCACAGGCAGCTTTAGGAAGAGGCACCTGCATCCCCCGTGACTCCCCAGAGATGGAGAAGGAGGAGGAGGTGGAGGGCCAGACTCACAGCCAGGCAGACAGACAGGCAGGCAGGGTTGGCTCCCGCAGGAAGAGAGGCAGAGCCTCTGGCGCCGCCGCGGCCCGGGAAGGTGAGCACCGTTCACCTTCTCGGTTTGGGTTTCTAAATTTAGCTCCCGCAGAGCCTGGGACCATTAACATTCCTGGCTGCCACCAAGTGTCCTGGCTTGGCGCATGCAGGGGCCCAGGGCGTCTGATGGGAGTAGTGGAGGGGGAGGGGTCGTCGAGGAGGGTTGGGGGTCCGGAACTGTGGCTTGCCTCCCACACCAGCCCTCCCACAGGCCACCTGGCCTGGCCTGCCCTGTGAGAGGAGACACACACACACACACACACACACACAGAGTCACGTGTGTGCACACACAGTGCCCCCATGTCTGTCCTATGTACACTCCCCCCGCCACACCACAACAGCGCACGACTCCAGATCCTCAAGGTGCTGCCGCAGGCCCAGCTGGGCATGGGGTGTCTTAGGGAGCCTGGGGGTGGGCACTTTCCTCCAGCACTCCTCAGCCTCGAGCATACCAGGGTTCTGGTCCCAGCCGTTCCCCCCCCCACCCTGGTGCTGCCCCGATCAGCCTTTCATCTGATCTACACTGGGATGGCGCCCTCCTCCCTCCGACTTGGATCGCAAAGGTTTTTCTCTGCTTCCCTTACCCCTCCTTCCATTGTAAGCCCCTGGGGAGGGGTGTTTCCTTGTTTCCCCCACACACACTGGGGTCCCAGAGTTCAAAGTGGGTTGCTGGATGCTGGATTCGGGGGCGTCACCAAGGCTGCCCCCTGTCAGATGGTCCAACAATGCTCAGGAGCCACTGGGAAGATAGGGGGGATGGAGGGGCTTTCTGCAGGGGACAGGGGATGGGGGTTGGCAAGGACCCTTTGGGGCAGGAGCCCAGACCCTATTATTTCCCAATATCTCAGGCAATTGTGGGGAGATCAGAGAGCACCCCACCCAAGGCTCCCAGCCCCTGAAACTCCCCTCCTCTTTTTATTTATTTATTTATTTTTGGCTCTTTGGGTCACACCCGGCGATGCACAGGGGTTCCTCCTGGCTCTGCACTCAGGAATTACTCCTGGCAGTGCTCAGGGGACCATATGGGATGCTGGGGATCGAACCCGGGCCGGCCGCGTGCAAGGCAGATGCCCTATCCTCTGTGCTAGCTATCGCTCCAGCCCCCCCCCTTCCTCTGTATACACAGTCATGCCTGGAGCTCGCCCTGGTCAGTGGCCTCCTGCCCCCAGCTCGGCCAACCCTTCCTTCCCCTCGGGGTGGGTGCTTTGGTGCAGGCTGCCTGTGAGGCCAGAGAGCAAACCCCAGGCAGCTCCGGAGGAGGGGTGGAGCCGTGAGGCTGATCCGGGAAGCCAGCTGGAGATTAAGGAAGTTATTAATGTTTGGAAACGGGATCTACGCTGTCAGGTATCAGATCACCGGGGCGGATGAGTGGCGCCACGACAGCGCGGGGGCACCTGAAAGTCCCTGGCGGGCCCGGGGACAAGCAGGCTAAGAGCTCCCTGAAACCGCGGGAGGGGTGGTGGCAGGGCTGGAACCCTCTCTACCGCCGCTCAGGGGACAGAGCGGCGGGGAGAAAGCGGTGGGCTCCGCCCCCAGGACTGGAGAAAGGAGGGGCGGGGCCCCTTCTCTGGAGCCCCGCCTGGGTCCCCTGAAGCCGGGTCCCCAGGTGATCAGGGTGGGGCCCGGCGCTCGCCACGCACGTGCACAGCCCGCCCGCATGCGCACTGCAGCTCTTGAGAGAGGTTGGGATGCAGGGGCCAACTGAAGCTGACGACACCCCTCACCCCCACTAGGGGTGAACACACAACACGCGCACACACACATGCAGCATCACACATACGGCAGCAATACCCTCAAAGTTGACGGACTCAACAGGAAGGACCCCCGGCGCCCCCCAGATCACTCGCAGCGCCGGCTCCGCCTCCCCACGCAGACTGACACCCAGACACACAGCCGAAGGGGCTCTGCCTGCAACGAGACTGCAGTGCGGGCCCGGCCTCCGAGGACACACACGCAGGCACGTGGCCAAGCCCCCTCCTCCCCTTCCCTGCAAATTCTGAGCCAGACGCAGACAGACAACAGGCGCTCGGGGAACAATGCGGGGCCGGGAGCCCCGCTGCTAGCACGCAGGGTCCACACACCCTCCCGCCCCTCGCGCCCCACCGCACGCAAACGCTGGGTGGGACCCAGGGGCAGAAGCTGCCCGAGACGGAACATCCTTGGGTGGAATCTGAGTTTCCTACACGCTGAGTTCTTCACTATCTCTGGGGTTCCCCTGGAACATCTCTCAAAGACCCCCAAGCCCTGGCCCAGAGGCATCCATCTGCCTGTCAGCATCCCCTGGAGGGAGGCATGAAGCCTCCCACCCCCAAAGCCCTCCCTGGTCCTCGGTAAGCTCCCCCCATGGCACCCCGTGGCTGACGGGGAGAGAAGGGGGTTCTCAGATGGGGCCCCTGCTCCCCACTCCCAACTTGCCCTCTTTCTGCTGCATGGAAGGTTCCTGCCGCGGACCACCCTTCGCGAACCCCGGAGCAAAGCCCCACACCTGGGACCACCTTCGGGGGTAGCCCCTACAGCCTCCCCCGCCCCCCGCCCTCAGTCCCCACCGCCGTTCAGTTCTGTTCTGGGGCAACAGGGATAAGGGGCGGGGCGGGCCGGTCCCAGGAGCCTTAGCCAGGCTCCGGCTTCCCAGCGCCCTCGGTGATGAATGTCCCTCCTGGCGTTCTCGTTACTTATTGATGCCCTAATCCCGCTCGTTAATTTCCCAGCCCTCGTTAAAAATGAAAAGAAGCCGTTTGTGCTTGTACAAACCCTGGGAACCAGAATGAATGTATGGGCGGGGAAGGGGGCGGGGGAAAGCAGGAGCTGCCTCCTCATTGGCCCGGGGTCGGCGGGAGGCCCCGCCCAACTCAGCCGAGGGGCGTGGTCGAGGCTGGTGGGCGGGGCGCGACCAAGGTGAGCAGGGAGGGGTCATGACCGAGGCGAATAGGATGGTGGGGCGTGGCCGAGGCGGGTGGGCGTGGCCGAGGCGGTGGGACTGGGGGCGTGGCCAGGGTGAATGGGTGTAACTCGCTCTGTGGTTCTCTCCGGTGGCCGTCGGGGCGCCACCGTGAGAACGACTGAGAACCAGCGTGGCTCTGGGTGTCAGCACAGACCCTGGCAAACAATAGTGCATGCGTGTTGCGGGGAGGGTGCAGGTGGACCATCTGCAGGAGCTCTTCAGAGTGGGGGTTCAGGGTGCAGAGCCAGACCCGCCCCGGGACCCTGGGCGGGGTGGGGGAAGCCTCACCAGTTTGCGTTGACACCAGTGGCAGAGGCCGCAGAGGACGACAGTGACGCTAAGGCTGACGGTGATGATGGCAGAGACCAGCAGGACATCGCGGGTGGGCGCCCCTGGGAAGGACATGCACAGGTCAGAGCCTCATTGGCCAGGGTCAGCAACCCACCCTCAGCCCAGAGCCACCCCACCTTTCCTCCTGGGTCCCCCATCCTGGAGGTTCCCCACCCCCAATTCCACTTCAGTACTGTCCTGCTGGGTGACCTTGGGGGGGGTCTTTGTGCCTCAGTTTCCTCATCTGTGAGATGGGGTCATTCATGCCGGTGGACACTGTCAGTCCTTAAGCGAGATCTGCATTATCTCTGAGTGATACGCTCAAAGGGAGAGTCCGGGGTGACACCCACCCAGCCCTGCCCTGCCAGGGTCTCATGTGCCTCAGTGACTCCCCCCAAAACTGCTGATTCCTCAGGCCCCTGCCAACTGCCTCACCCTCTCCCCTCACTTGTCTCATTCTTAGCCCCCTAACCAGATGTGCCCACAGGGTCATTTTAGTTCCCCTGGGCATGACCAGACCCTCCTAAGCAGTATCGGGTGGTCCGGGGGCTTTCTCAGAACATCAGGCCAGTGTGGTCCCTCCACCCCCACCTTGGGTTGGAAGCCTCCCCACAAGTGCCCACAGCAGCTGGCCCCTGTGCCAAGTAGCTTTTATTCTAAGAATGAGGAGTTGAGATCATGTTGCAGGATGCTCCCAAAAAGTGCTCAGAGAGTCCCAGATCACTCCTGGTGGCACTCAGCCACTGAAGCAGAGCTCAAGGCTAGGGCCTGGGTTGGGGGTACTGCTGGGGGCCATTAGGGCTATACCTGGCAGTGTTGGGGGGAGTGCCCGGGTGCCTGACCCCCGGGGATGACGGGATGCTGAGCCAGCCACACACTCAGGTCCCACTGGCTTGTGTGGGTCACGCAGTGAGTCACATTGTCATGGAGATTGACAGCGTGAGGCCGGCGCACCTGCCCAGGGCCTCAGGCTGGGGGTCTGAGAGGAGAGTTTGGGCGGCCTTCTCCCAGGGGTATATACCGCCTCCAGCTATCTCTGTAGCCCCGAGTCACCTGACCACTCCATCTCAGCCTCAGCTCCCACCTCCTCCTGGCCTTTGTGGGGGGTTGGATGGGGGTTTGTAAAGGCGAGCTCAGGCCCGCTCAGGGGGACAGACCTACCAAGTAAGCGAGGGGAGAGCCCTGGGCTCCCTCCCAGACACCCCCTACCTGCTCTCTCTCCAATCTCCCCGCTGCTCCCCAAGAACCCCCACTGCCTGGTGGAGGACTGCCAACCCCGCTTGTCCACCTATTGGTTGGCTAAGCCACCTCCTGTCCCAAGTCCACAGCCCCGCCCCCACCCCAGGAAGCCCCACACTGACCCTGCTGACCCGGCCAAGCCTGTGGCTAGCAGGAAGCTGGCCGCATAAGGCTGTAAGAACCACCTGTGACAGCCCAAGCCCCCAGGCTGAGGGGACGGAGTGACACAGCCCGATGCCAGCCTCTAAGACAGGCCAGAGACGGGCACATGTGCCTGCTGGCAGAACAGGCTGGGCCTCCTGCCTGGCATGTAGGAGGCCTGGGGTCCATCTCCGAAACGCAAATCATCTCTGCCAGGAGCGACCCGCCTTCCCCTGCCGGCGGCATCGAGCTCGGACCAGCCCCTGAGCAGCGCCGGGTGTGGCCCCCACACAAACAGAAACAGCAAATGTGCTTTCTGGGAACGAGCTGCACTTCTTCCGGCTCTTTCTGCAGAGCTGTCCCTGCCCTGCCGCTCGGGGGCCTGGGTGCCTCTCCTTGCAGATGGCCCTGCCCGCACGCCAACGGCGCCCTAATGGGAAAGCACCCGGCTAACCGCCCGCGGCACCACGCCTTGTGCCCCAGAGTCAGGGAGGGGCCCGCAGCAGCAGAACACTCAGGATGGGGACCCCAGGACAGGCCACCCGGAATACCAGAGGAAAGACCCACGGGGGAGGGCAGCCTCTGCCGTCCAGGGGGTCTGGACCACTTGGTCTGTTTCAGGGTGTCTGTTTCTGCTCCTTTATAAACTGGAGGTCGTGGCACCCACCATGGCTGTTGTGTGTGTGTATGTGGCAGTGGTGGTGGGGGCGGTGGTGGCAGCCAGAGGTGCTCGTGGGCTGTTCCTGCCTCTGTGCTCGGACATGACCCCTGGCAGTGCTGGGGGGACCACAGGCAGTGCTGGGGACTGAATTAGGATGAATGGCAGGTACCTTACCCCCCCCACCCCCGTCCTCTCTCGCCAGCTCCCCCAGTTGTGGTTGTTAGCAGTTACTATAATTAGGGTGTTAATTTTCTCTCAGTGTCAACAGCAGGGCCAGGGAACACCAGAGGGGTGATGGCTGGACCAGGGAGCTGCTGGAAGGCTTCGTGGAAGAGGTGGTTTTTTGTTCTGTTTTGTTCTTTTTTTTTTTTAAAGAAAAAACCATGGTTTGGGGGATTGGTGTGGAGATGAGGGTAGGAAGTTGTGGGCAGAGAGATCAGTAAGGACTAAGGCAGCAAGGAGAAGCATGCTGTGTGAGGAGCTGGTCTCAGGGACGGGGATCCTGTGTGTATGTGCGTGTGCATGTGTGGGGTTCCTGTGTGTGTGTGTGTATATGTGCACTTGCCTTTGTGTGTGTGGGTGTGTGGGTGTGTTTCCTCTGTGTGTGTACATGTGCATGTGCCTGTGGGTGGGTTCCTCAGTGTTTGTGTGTGTGTGTGCATGTGTATGTGAGTGTGCCTCTGTGTGTGGGGGGTTCTCTGTGTGTGTATGCGCATGCGCACGTGGGGTTCCTGTGTGTATATGTGTGCGTGCTTGCGTGTGTGGGGGTCCCTGTGTGTTTTGTGTGTGTGTGCATGTGCATGTGTGTGTGCCTGTGGGGGGTGTTCCTATGTCTGTGTGTGTATGTATATGCATACACCTCCCACATGCACATGTGGGGTTCTTCTGTGTGTGTGTATGTGTGTGTGTGGTTCCTTTGTATGTGTGTGCATATGCATGTGTGTGTGCCTGTGGGGGGTATTCCTGTGTGTGTATACATGTGCGTGCACGTGTGGGGTTCCTGTGTGTGTGTGTGTGTGTGTGTGTGTGGTTCCTCTGTGTGTGCATATGCATATGTTTGTGCCTATGGGGGAGTGTTCCTGTGTGTGTATATGTACGCAAGTGCATGTGTGGGGTTCCTGTGTATGTGCATATGTGTTTGTGGTTCCTCTGTGTGTGTGTGTGTGCCTGTGGGGGTTGTTCCTGTGTGTGTGTATGCATGCATGTGCATGTGTGGGGTTCCTGTGTATGTGTATGTGTGTTTGCGGTTTCTCTGTGTGTGTGCATGTGTGTGCCTTTGGTAGGGTGTTCCTGTGTGTGTGTATTCACTCACGTGCATGTGTGGGGTTCCTCTGTGTGTGTATGTGTGTGTGTGGTTTCTTTGTGTGTGTGTGTGTGTGCATGTGAGTGTACCTGTGTGTGTGGGGGGTATTCCTGTGGGGGGGGTGTGTATGCACATGCATGCTTGTGTAGGGTTCCTGTATATGTGTGTTTGCGGTTCCTCTGTGTGTGTGTGCATGTGTGTGCCTTTGGGGGGTGTTCTGTTCCTGTGCATGTGTGGGGTTCCTCTGTGTGCGTATGTGTGTGTGTAGTTCCTTTGTGTGTGTGTGTGCGTGCATGTGCATGTGCCTTTGGGTGAGGGTGTTCCTGTGTGTGAGTATATGAATGCGTGTGCACGTGTGTGTGCATACACATGCATGTGTAGGTGCGAATGCCTGTGTGTATACGGGTTTCTCTGCCCTGTGCCTCGCTTCACACCTCTAGGCCACAGCGCGACTGTCTGAATATTCACTGAGACACTCCTCAGTGCCACACAGGCCCTTACCCAAAGACAGCTGACCCGAGCACCCCCAGGACAGAGACCCAGCAGCCCAGGTGGCGGTGGGCGCCTGGGCCCCCAGGGGTGCCAAACAGTCTGTGGGGCTGTGGAACAGGCACTGGGCTGGAGTCCAGGCCCCGAGCCGGCTTCAGCAGCCCACAGACACTCTGTTAGTGCAGGCTCAGGACAGCACCTTCTTCCTGGGTGCTGCTGTCATCCCTAGGCGGCCCCCTCATGACCCAGCTACACACAGTGATGACCCCTGTTTTGTAGATGGGGACACCGAGGCACAGAAGGATCTTTTCATTTTGTGGGGGCCACACCCAGCGATGCTCAGGGGTTACACCTGACTCTGCACTCAGGAATCACTCCTGGCTGGCCTTGGAGGACCATATGGGATGCCGGGGATTGAACCCGGGTCAGCTGTTTGCAAGGCAAACGCTCTCCCTTCCATCACTCTGGCCCTAGGTTATAATAATAATAATAATAATAATATATATAATATTTTTTGGCTTTTTGGGTCACACCTGACAATGCACAGAAGTTACTCCTGGCTCTGCACTCAGGAATTGCCCCTGGCGGTGCTCAGGGGAGACCATATGGGATGCTGAGAATCGAACCCGGGTTGGTCGTGTGCAAGGCAAACGCCCTACTCATTGTATTATTGCTCCAGCCCCAATCATAATATTTTTAATATTTATTATTATTATTTTAAGTCCCTGATCCAAGGCCATTTAGCTGCTATAGGGCCTTGGGGTTCGAATTCAGGCACTGGAATTTCGAGGCTGTACCCTTTGCCCCGACTTTGCCTCCAGAGCGACAGGCATGCTCTGGACAGAGGCAGTTTCCAGAGCGTGCTTCTGAGAATCCACAGGATTTCCAGGAATGTCTCTGGGGACCAGAAGTGGACGCCGGGCTCGTGAGGCCGTGGGGCCTCAAACCCTCTTCAGTCAATCTTGGCTCTCTCTGGCTCTTTTGGGGGAGGTGTGGGGGAGGGCTTCCAAGTGGGGTGGCGGGTCACCCCAGTTGACACTTGGCCAATCAGGTCAAAGGGTTGATCTGACACTGCCGGGGGCACCCCAGCCAGAGGAGCCTGCACCCTCTGCCTCGGGCTATCCCCTGAACCCCTGTCTTTGCATCTCACAATGTGGCCTTCTGCAGGAAACCCGGTTGAAGAAAGGGCCACGTTAGGGAAGGAAGCGGAGCCCCTGGGTGAGCGATCT